GTCAGATTGATGAGTAGAAACGGAAATTCCTTTAAAAAGGTGTAACCAACGTCCAGCAGGACCAGCACCACTGCACCAGCCGAGATAAGGGGGTAATAGAGTTAGGAAAACATTTGTGGGCCACTCACAGTAGCAGAGGAACTGGAGTAACATTACTGAGGAAGCAAAGACGAAAGGCTAAAAGGAGCGTCAAGTTGGTGAAGGAAGTTGAGAATATTAAGAAAAGATGGGAACATAAATTGAAGAAAGTTGAGACTATTAAGAAAAGATGGGAACGTAAATTGAAGGAAGAAAGAAGATAAAAATCTTCTTCTCTCCTCAATAATATATACATACAGCTCACTCATTAAAGCCCATATATCATCAATGGATTTCGTATCTTTGTTCGTCCCCTTTTTCTTTTTAAAAATAGTTATCAAATTAAAGTACTCAAATTCTTTGATCATGAGACGTTTCTTCCAAGCAACTTTCCACCACCATCACCATCACCACAATCATCATCATCAAACTTAACCCACCTTCTCATCTTTATTTCTTCTAATTTTTCTTTTTTCGTGTGTGCGTCTGATTTAAATTCTGAAAAAATTAGTTTCTGGCTATCCATTTGGCAACAATGCCGGGTCTAGTCTCTGTGAAAACCCCACCCTTTATGCCGTCGCCAAAAATTCTCTTAGCCGAAACCCGAAGCGTAACAACTGACAGCCATCGAACACCATCTCCACTCATAAAGCAAGCTCCATCCCCTTCACCGTCCAACTCTCGCGCAAAATCCACAATAAAGACCCCGGAAAAAGTCACTATCGATGAAGCATCTCTAGACAACCCGGATCTGGGTCCCTTTTTACTCAAGTTGGCCCGAGACACAATTTCTTCCGGTGATAACCCGAACAAGGCCTTGGATTATGCAATTCGAGCGTCCAAATCATTTGAGAGGTTTTCGGGTCAGGGTCAGGGCCTGGAGCTGGTTATGAGCTTGCACGTATTAGCGGCAATTTATTGCAGTTTGGGAAGGTTTGAGGAGGCGGTTCCGGTTTTAGAGCGGTCGATTGAGGTTTCGGATGCTGGAAATGGGTCGGATCATGCTCTGGCCAAGTTTGCGGGATATATGCAGCTGGGGGACACGTATTCGTCAATGGGTTTGTTGGACAGATCCGTTTGGTGTTACGAGTCGGGTTTAAAGATCCAGATTGAGGCTCTCGGTGATTCGGATCCAAGAGTTGCTGAAACTTGTAGGTAAGCTTTGTATGTCAAAACTCAAGGGTTGATTGTCTTTCCCATTGGGTTAAGATTAACGACTCGTGGTGCATGTTAGTTTATTAGTTGGCGGGAGGCTAACTTGTACTGTTTTGAAATGGTCTTATTGTATGGTTGGACATTTATCAGCCCACTCTAGCCCGTTACGTTACGGGGCTTGTGGGCTCTCATGTTTCATGAACAATCAGCATACATAAACTTCTCTTATTCATGCCTCCCCTATTCATTGTACGTGCCCACATTTAACACTGCTTGAAGGTGTGTTAAAAAACTTATATATCTATTAACTAAATAATGTTAACGGATAATGAAGAGCGTATTTAAGTTTTTTCCATCGTATGATGATATAACTGTCAATGATTTCTATTGTGTTAAATCTAGTGTTTGATTTATTGGACGGGTATTCAAAAAATAATTGTTTTCTCATATGTGACTGTAATTATGTTTACCCATGGAGAAGGTAGCTTTTGATTACTTATAAATGTTTTCTCATCTAATTAGTATATTCAAATAATACTAATGGTGGAACTTGCTTATCACTTGTTTCTTCCCGGAGGAAGTATTTAAGATATATTAAGAGTGAAATTTCTTACTTTCCCTTTGGGAACCCACACCAAGTATTCTAATTTCTAATATTCTTACAATTTTTTTCATCCACATTTTCTTATTGTGTTTGAAACATTTCGTCATAGATCATTTATAATTGTTTGAGACCTATAGTTGTAGACCTTCAAGCATAGTTTAACTTTCTTATAATTTAATATGGAAACAACAGGTACTTAGCTGAGGCCCATGTACAAGCAATGCAATTTGATGAGGCACAAAACCTATGTAAGAAGATCCTTGAAATCCACAAGGAGCACAGTCCACCAGCCTCTCTTGAAGAAGCAGCTGATCGCCGGCTTATGGCTCTTGTCTGCGAGGCAAAGGGAGATTATGAATCTGCCCTCGAGCACCTTGTTCTGGCTAGCATGGTAATGATAGCTAAAGGTCAAGAGAATGAGGTTGCTTCCATCGATGTTAGCATTGGCAGTATTTATATTTCTCTTTGCCGCTTCGATGAGGCCATTTTTTCCTATCAGAAGGCACTTACAGTCTTCAAAGCTACTAGGGGTGAGAATCACCTTTCTGTAGCATCAGTTTTTATTCGCCTTGCAGATCTATACTACAAGATTGGCAAACTAAGGGAGTCCAAATCCTACTGTGAGAATGCCTTGAGAATATACGCAAAACCAGAGCCTGGAGCTGCTTCTGAGGATATTGCCAATGGTTTGACAGAAATCTCAGCAATCTATGAAGCCTTGAATGAGCATGAGGAGGCATTGAAGCTCTTGAAGAAGGCTATGAAATTATTGGGAGACGCCCCTGGGCATCGTAACACAATTGCAGGAATAGAAGCGCAGATGGGCGTGATGTTCTATATGCTTGGGAGGTATGGGGAGGCTCATTGCTCTTTTGAGAGTGCTGGAGTGAAGCTTCGAGCAAGTGGGGAGAGTAAATCAGCATTCTTTGGAATCGTTTTGAACCAGATGGGATTGGCTTGTCTGCAGTTGTACAGGATAAATGAGGCCACTGAGCTGTTTGAAGAGGCAAGGGGGGTATTAGAGCAGGAATGTGGTTCATATCACTTGGACACTCTTGGAGTATACAGCAACCTTGCAGCGACTTATGATGCCTTGGGAAGGTGAGCACACTTAGAATTTCTTTCCAAGTTTTTGTTTAGTTCTTTAACCAGTTTTTTTTTTTTTTTGCTAGTTATATTCTCTGCTCTTGCCACTTGTTTGGTTTGCCATTAAATATTAACAGATAGTTCATATAATAACTCATTGGGAACTCAAGTGAATTTAGATCAAGAATAAAATCCATTTCCGTCTTTCATAAGGTTTCACAGATGGAATTTGTATTTTTAAGCCCACAATAGATTTCAATTAAAACCTTTTTAATATACTAATAAACTATTCCTGTTTGTGTACGAAATATATATACATAAAGGTGATAATAATTCAACGACTTCTACTCTTGGTGTTATATATTGTTAATGAACCCTGTTTTTTAGGGAGAAAGATCAGGTTAGCCATTTGGGAACAGCGATTGTTTCCTGCCTTTCTGTTACGGCATGCAATTGGATGGAGTCCATATCTCCTTATCTTGACATGAAGACTATGGAACATATTAGGTGTCATTATTCAAGGCTTAATTGCCTGCATAGGTTTCTGTGGGTGCAGAGCTGTATATACTATATACACATGTGCTAATGTCTAGTGTTTTTGATTAATTTCCTAGGTAGGCATTAGTGTAGTTAATTGCTTTGCTGAACACAGAAGTGTGTTAATTATGACAGGGTAGAAGATGCAATTGAGATATTGGAGTACATCCTTAAGGTGAGAGAAGAAAAGCTTGGAACGGCAAACCCAGATGTAGAGGACGAAAAGAGAAGGCTTGCTGAACTCTTGAAAGAATCAGGAAGGTCTCGAAACAGGAAAGGAAAATCACTTGAAAATCTTCTTGATTCCAACTCACGTAGGAAGAAGAAGGACGTTACAAAGAGACGGTCTGGATTTAGTTTTAAAAGTTAAAACTCCCACTAAGACAATCTCTTACTTGTTCTTGCTTCTTAGCAGAATCCACTTTTCATAATACAGGGGATTGAGTAAAGATAAGGTTTTGAAATTGGTGGATCTTTCACGTGTCTCTGGATCCCAATCTCCTTTTTTTTTTTTTTCTTTTTTTTTTCCTGTGTTTCTCTCATCTCTTTTGCGTTTATAATATTTGCTTCTTTCTATGAATATTAGCGCTGTCATTTTGAAGCTGTTTATCAAAAAGGAAAGCTGAGATGCGCTGTCATTTATTCTTTCTGACTTAAAACAGTTAAACAGATAATATCCTAAGACCTATTACCTTTAGCCCCGTTCGACTCTTAGCTGCTTGAATTTTCGTGTAAAATCCACCTTTCTGTAAGAAGCAAAACAAGAAATGCACGTACAAGATTCAACGAGAAAAAAAAAAAAGGTTATTTAGACGGATTCAATTCCTCTGCTTATAAGTCCACTGGAACACAGATTTTATACGCAGTGTCGGCAGTGATACAAGGGTTGACTATCAAAGTTTTAACCCATGTGGATATGTTAATTTAGATGATCGATACATTATTGTCACTTGGAGAAAATGGCCTGTTAATATGTTATTCTGCTAGGCTCAAAACAAGTCAATTGGAAATTTCATCATAGCTTGTAGTCTTTTTTCAGTCCAAACCCTTGTAGGGGACAATGAGGAGCAAAAACCACGTGTGAGTTTAATATGATAACCACGTAATATTTTTCTACACCAAGGAACAATAAGTTGAAAATATTAACCATCACAGAAAACGTGGAAACAAAGAAAACAAGCAGGATTTTATGCAACTGCAAATTAATGGGTTCCAATCTCGAAGATTTTGTTAAGAAAATGATTTTTCCAACTTAGAAAATTTAGTGTTGTCATATCTGGATAAATTGGTAACAATATTTGTAATATAGAATAAAGACGAAGTTGGATTACACCTAAACCTAATGGGATTTTTCCTTGGTGGTGATAGTGACTAACTTCAGCATCAACGACTTGTTCGGGGAAAAAACCACAATAGTTTACTACTGTTAGGTCTACTGCCCTAACAGTAAGCTAGCTCAATTTTCAACACATCATCATCCTAAAACTGTCCACAAGTGCGTCTCCCCCACTTACTTGCACTTGAAGTTTTGAATTTAAGTCCCCCATAAACAAGCTATATACTTACCTGTTTCTTGGCAACTTCGCTTTTCTTTCTGTTATATATACTTGGATTATTTATTCCCCAAACCACCATAGTCCTTAAAAAATGGGTTCTGAAAAGGTGTCAAGAACCAGGACTCATCAACCTTGTGCTGCTTGTAAGATGCTACGTCGGAGATGTGACAACAATTGCATACTTGCACCATATTTTCCAATCGATGAGATAGAAAACTTTGCCTGTGTGCATAGAGTTTTTGGAGCTAGCAATGTCATTAAAATGATTCAGGTGGGGAAGATTCACAAATGGATCTAAACTTTTCATTAAGCTCATGTTGGGTTAGGAATAAGCGGTCTCACGGTAGTTCATATTCATTTAATTTTTACATATCCAGGATTAATTGTTGATGATATTACTGTTTCATTCATCTGCTTAGTATCAACAAGTAAAACCATGCCATCTTCTTAATTATACCATAATTGAAAACCCCCTACAGGTTTGTCCGGGTAAGAGTTCTAAGATCGATCTTGGTGTTTTGTTATGATAACAGATGGCTGAGGAGACGAAGAGGGAGGATGCTGTCAAAGCAATAGTTTATGAAGCAACAGCAAGGCTCAGAGACCCTGTTTATGGCAGTGCTGGGACTACTTTTCACTTGCATAAGATGGTTCAGGATCTGAAATTTGAGTTGGAATCAATACAAAGTCGAGTTATGGCGTTGCAAGAACAAAGAAATCAGTTATTGGGTATTGTCATGAATGCTCATCACCAGGATCCTGTCTACCCCATAAATGACTCCATGTTTGATTGTGGGGATTTCTCATTAGATGATGGATCTCTAGCCTATGATCCTGTTAACTTTTCTATGGAGTGTGACTGGATTTTGTAAGGAGATTCTGATTCTCCCCGTTCAGTTATTCCTCAGCATAACTGGTTAGAGATTTTCTTTTAAAAAGGTAAAAAATATTTATTAAGAACTTTGTGAGAACGTAGCCATGGAAATATACTCTGGTTAAATGTGAAAGGAAATGTTATATAGTAGAATAAAAATTTGTAAGTTATAATTTGTACTTTTAAATCTATTAACTATTGACTCCTTTGATCAGTCTACCATACTTACAGCTTTCCTTATAATTAAGATGACTTTTTTCCTTAAATTTTGTTATATGCCTAACGGAAGACTTAGCTAACAAGGTTTTCTAGAATCCAGTTAGCAGAGCAGCCAGAGGTGTTTCTTCTAGATTGAAGGCTCTCTAGTCATTAGTTTTCTCCTCTTTTAACAAGTGTCAACAAATTCCACTTGGATCGTCATAAGAAAATTTTCCAGAGAAGCTTCATGGCTTTTTCTTCCCATAAACAAACGATCTATTCTAAACAAATTGGGACTTAATTCAAGCCTCCTTGACTAAGCGCAGTAGCAAAGTCTGGGGGTATATATCTTGATATTGGCACATTGGAATGAAAAAGGAGAAGAAAACATGAACTTTTCTTCTCAATCAATCAGCTGAAGAGACTTGAAGCCGCCCTTGCCTAATTATGTTCGTTAGTTTAGTTTTCAGTTCTTTATTTTATTGGACTTATATAATCTGCACATAGTAGAGTTACAGGCTTAAGATAGACATGAAAGATTACACGACCTTAAAATCATGGGTGCTATCTACTGATTCCTGATCAATAATGTGATCCACATGCTCTCATAATTTAGAGTAACACTAGCCTTATAAAGAGGCATACAAAGAGACAATCTCTGCCCTTAAAAGAAGGGAAAAAGAGAGAGAGAGAAGGGCAATCATGAATTTTAAGGGTAGGGATTCTCTCTTTGTATGACTCTTTGTATGCCTCTTTGTAAGGCTAGTGTTACTCCATAATTTATTGGATTTATATCTTGTTAATGCATGATTTGACACTAACGATTACGCACGTGCAAAGTGCTAAAAGACTTAAAAGATGATTGTGAGAGTGTTTATAGTATTGTGGTTATATTGCTTGTTAGTTATTGCATAAATAACAAGTTGATTTTATTAATTTTTAGAGTGGTTCGAATTAGGGGTGGAAAAAAAAACACGGAAACCGAACCGGACCAAAAATCCGATTTTTTTCGATTTCGGTTCGATTATTAAAAAAAACTAAAAATCCGGTTTGGTTTCGATTTTTGGCAAAATTAATTCTGGCTACCTGGAATCGGTTTTTTGAACCGAATTAAAAAAAAAAATTAAGTGGTTTACGTTTTTGATTTTGCAATCCCTAACAGTCTAACTTGTCTAACACCCAAACATTACTCACTCAGTACTCAGTAATACTCATTCTCACTGCTTCACTACTCACGCACGCCGCACATCGCAGCCCTACGGTACTCAGTCTACTCAAGTCACTACTCAGATTAGACCTCACTCACCTTAGTAACTCTCGCATTCTCTTAGTCTCAGTGACTCAATCTTTGTCTCTAACTGTCACTCTCATTCTCTGTCTCTCACTCTCTCTCGAACTCTCACTATCTCTCAGTTCTCATATCTCTGTTCTCACGCGGTCATGCCTTAGCCAGTAGCCACCCAAATTTCTCACGTTGCTTACGCCACCGATCTTTACTCAAACCGCCGATCTTTAGCTCAACAATCGGCAGTCACCAGTCACAGTCAGCCAGTCACCATTCTTCTTCCTTCACCAAGTCGCTGGCTCACTACCGTCGCCATCTGGGTTTCCCAGGTCCCTCACGCGTGCCTACTACGTGACCTCAGCTGTAGTCATCGTTGTCACTCTAGTCTCCACGTCATCGTCTATTTCTGGTGGGTGACCTCATCTCTCTCTCTCTCTCTCTCTCTCTCTTCTTCGGAAGCTAACTGTTATGAGGCTGTGATGAAGGTTTCAAGCTTTGAGTAGGACTCTTTGAGATCCGTTTATTGGCGGGGCAACCCAGAGACAGCTCCTTGTTGCAGCCATTGAACTCCTCAAGGCTTCACTTTCAGAGCTGAATCTGAGCCCCCATATATCTACAACTCATTTTGTATTTATTATTTTGCCTTCTGGTTTACTAAATTGAAATTGAAGCATTTGGTACTTAAAAGGGATGGAATTTCTGAAGTTTATGGGAGGCACTCTCTTTGGCTTTCTGAATCAAAATCCAAATTTTGAACCCTTGAAGCATAGTCAAGAGGGTTTTCTTTGGATTCTCTAGTTGAGAGAGAGTGGCATTTTGGTTTTAACTCAGGCACTTGCCGCTGTAAAATGGGTTTGCTGGAAATTTATAAGTGAATCAACATGTACATTTTTGTTAGAAGGCTATGAATATGAATACTTTTGAATTCTAGGAGACTCAAAAGTTTCTTGCTAGTTTAGTTAAGCTGAATCCTAAAGCTTCATGACACCAAATGGTAAAATTTCTCTTTCTTTATAAGAATTATAAATAATGTCAAAATAAGGAAGAAAAATGGTTAGTTGTAGACCAAATTTACATGTTGATCAAATGCTCTATTTTATCTGACACTATTCTGTGTCAGTGGATATTTCTTTTTGTTTGCTTGAATGTTTGTTCCACTTCTTGCATGAGGTAGTTGTGCACCATTTTGCAGCCAGTCTGTAGGTTGTTAGGACTCCCTTGCAAGACTGCCTGAAGCATGATCTTTGCCATACAGAGAACTCACATTAGTTGTTAGGTACTAATGTAGCTTCTGTTTTCATTATGCTGTTAGCATTAAAATTCTAGTAATTTATAGCTCAAGATTGATTAAACAATTTGCTTATATTTATCTGTAAATTTGTAACAAATGCCCGACCATCCATTATATGTGTACACTTGAGTATAGATTATTTATGTGTTTATTTTTTGTGAATTCTAGTTTTCAAATTGAAACGGTGCAATCCTATTGAAGGACTGAAAGAGGTATACGAGAAGCTGTCCTCTCCTGGGTAATTTAATTACTTCATTTTTAGTGTAATTGTATTTTATTTTGTTCATTATTTGTATTGATTTTTGTGTATAATTAATCATTTCAGGAATTCAAGTGAGGAAGTCCCAAGTACTGTTGATTTAAAGAAGGTTAGTGAGCTTTATTACATTGGTAATTTTGTGTACATGTTGAAATGTTAGTTATTTCCAATTCCAATTTTCGATTATATCTCTTTGACTGTTACAAGATTTCGATTCTTAGAATAATATAAATGCATGGTGCCTTAGACTATTGGGCATAGACTAACCACAAATAGTTAATGCATATTCCTTTTTTATGCTATTGTAGATATCTTCGACTAGTGACAACAACACACCCACTTTTGACAGTTCACATGACACTCAAGCACCTACACCAAGACCACCCATACCTTCAGGTCCCAAATGTGCAAAATCTACTATTAGTAGGAAGAATACATCTGAATTGTGGGATCACTTCACCAAAAATGAGTGCGAGAATAAGGATGATTTGACGGCAACATGTAACTATTGTGGGAATGTTCTTGCTTGTCCAAGTAAAAGTGGTGCAAGTTGTCTACGTAACCACTTAAGCAAGTGTAAAAAATATCCTTTGAATGTGGTGGACAAGAGACAAAAGACGTTATTCTTTCAACAAGCATCACGTGACCTCTCAAGTGAGGTTGCCTCCTCTACACAATCTTCATTGTTGTCATGGAAATTTGATCAAGATTTTATTAGAGAAACTATTGCCCAAATGATTATTATCGATGAGCTATCGTTTAATTTTGTGGAGCGTGAGGGGTTTCGCCGTGTGATGACTGCGGCACAGCCTAGGTTTCAAATGCCCTCCCATAAGACTGTGGACACAGATTGTTTCAAGATTTATATTGAAGAGAGTGAAAAGCTAAAGAAGTTTTTTAGTAAGTTTAATCACACAGTTTGTCTCACTACTGAGATATGGACAAGTTATCAGAACCTCAACTATATGTGTCTTACGGCTCACTTCATCGATGACAATTGACAACTACACAAAAGGATTTTAAACTTTTGTCCTATAAGTAGTCATAAAGGTTTAATCATTGGGAAGGCAGTGCAGAGATGATTGCTTGATTGGGGTATTTCTAAAGTATTCACAGTAATGGTCAACAATGTAAGTTATAATTATATGGGTATAAGTTATCTTAAGACTCGGTTATCAAGTTGGCAGGGAAATGTCTTGGGTGGTCAATTTCTTCACATGAGATGTTGTGCACACATACTAAGTTTGATTGTAAAAGATGGGTTAAAAGATATGGATGACTCCATATTTAGAATTCATGTTGCAGTGAGATATGTGAAGTCTTCTCCAGCAAGATTAATGAGATTTATGGAGTGTGTGGAGAAAGAAAAAATTGAAAGTAAGAGTCATTTGGTGCTTGATGTAGAAACAAGGTGGAACTCTACTTATTTGATGTTGGATACCGCAGTTAAATTCCAGAGAATATTTGAATTATTGGAAATAGAAGATAGTAAGTACAGAGATGAGCTTTCTAATGGGGACAGGTCAAAGGGTTTGCCTACATATAGTGATTGGGAATATGCCCCGTACTTGTTACCGTTTCTGAAAATTTTCTATGATGCTACCATACATGTGTCCTGCTCTTTTTATGTAACTAGTAATGAGTACATGCGACATATATATAGCATTGGGATGAAGATTTCAGAATGGTGTTATAGTCATGATCTTAGCTTAAGTTCTATGGCGGTAAGGATGAAGGGAAAATTTGACAAATATTGATAATATCAATATAGTGTTATTCATTGCGGTTGTTTTAGACCTTAAGGACAAGTTAGAATATGTTGATTGGGTGATTGGTGAGTCCTATAATGCTTTTACTGCTGATAAGTTAAAGAAAAAAGTGATGAAAATTGACATTGAAGATGACAATGACAAGACATTTGATCTCTTGAAATGGTGGAAGATGAATTCAACAAAATATCCAGTTCTCTCTTTGATGGCATGAGATGTATTGGCTATGCCCGTTTCAACTGTTACATTTGAGTCGGCTTTTAGTATAGGGATTTGATCCATTTCGTAGCTCCCTTACTACGAAAATGGTGGAAGTTTTTCTCTGCACACAAGATTGGATTCGGAGTACGAGTGCACCATTAGCCATTGAGGACACCTTGGATGAGTTAACGAAAATTGAGTCGGGTAAAATTTTTGCTTTACTTTCAATTAATTAATTATGTATGTGTTGGATTTGTTAATCATACTTTCAATGATTTAATTATGTGTTTATCTAACTTTTTGCAAAATTTCCATCTTTCAGAGTAGAAAGTACTCGTCCTTAACTAAATGATTGAAAGACAATCCAAATTTCCAATAACGAGGTATAATGGTATATACTATGACTTTATTTAGTTTCATTTGTTCTTTTATTTACGAATTTCTAGATTTGATTGGACAAACTTACAAAAAGAAAGAAATTTAAAATGGAAGCTACCTAACAAGTTGTGGAACTTTTTTGTTTTGACATTTGACATTTGACAATGGATTGGAATGTGCTTGGAGTTTGACGATTATTGCTTGCTTGGAGGCCTCTTTTGAAATCTTTTTGTGGATTTGTTATGTTTATATTTGTCTTTGTGAACTTTGTTTGTGTATTGCATTTCATTGTTTGATTTGGAAATGTGCTTGTTATGTACTTAGGTTTGTTTTGTGGAAATGTGTTTGTTAGGTTTCTTTTGTGGAAATGTGTTTGTTAGGTTCGTTTTGTGGAAATGTGTTTGCTAGTTTTAATCATGTGTTTGATTTGGATTTTGTGGAAATATGTTTCTTATTTTATTCATGTGTTTGATTTGTAATTTTAAATTATTAATATTTGATGTATCTTAAAATTATATGAATTCAAATTATTCAATTACAATAAATATAATTTTAATTCAAGTAAAAAAAAAAAAAAAACCTGGAAAAAAAAAGGGCCAAAGTGGAGTGTGACCGAATTGGGCCGAAAAATGCAGTCAATCATAAATCCTAATTAACCGGTTTTAAAATCGGTTAACCAAACCGAATTTTCGGTTCGGTTCAAAAAAAATTTGAAACCGAAAACCGGTTTGGTTTAAGCTACCAGTTAACTGGTTTTTTTCACCCATAGTTCGAATGCTATGAGCAAGTCTTACGTCCACTGTGTTTGTATTATATTTTGTTTTGTGATCGCTAATGAAGATTACAAAGAGAACAACCTCTCACATGATCTCTCAAGGTTACAAGTGGTCGGGATATCTTAAAAGAATGATAAGTCAGTCTTTTTCAAATAGTGCCTTTGTTGTAAAATAAGTTTCTGAATTTGAGAATCAATCTCGTTGTGAGGAGTAGAGTTGGCTATTTGTTGTATTCCCAACTTAAAGTAATAAGTGCTTTTATAAATTTTCTTTATTTGTTGAAGATCTTCTTTCCTTCTAATTTGTTTAGAGTTTTCATCTATATTCTTAAATTAAATGAAATTTTGATTGATAGGTGCATAAAATATCATCAGAGTTGGTTTAAGGATTGTCTTGCTATTTCTTGTTTGTCTTCATGCACATGGCGAACTCTGATCAGTGGAGTTGAATTCTGATTAGTGATGATGACGTCAGCATACGTTTTAGCCATAACATATCTAAAAAATATTTTTGTTTTTCTTTAATACCTTTTGCTTTCTGTAGCAAGGAAAGGGCTCACCAATATTTCTCGTTTTAATAAAACTTTCAAAATATTAGCCTTCCTTCATCACCTAATTACGATAGCATAGCCAAACTTAATGAAACTCTGACTGTTATTAAATAAAATATTGTTAAAAAAATATTTATTATTTACAGTTACTAATATAATAGTTATAAAATAATCAATTATTATATTAGTAACTGTAAATAATAAATATTTTTAATATAAAATAATAGAATTAATTATCAATAAAATAAGAAGAATACAATAAAATTAACAATACTAACAATTTGATCACGTATAGAAAATCCTTTAGAATAATAGGATGAGATCCGAAGAATACAACATTAGAAGAATGTCGAAGCCTATGTAACACACAGTTTCTTTAAAACAAATTTGCCTCCTTCACTTAGGTGTATACGAATTTAAGCAGCATCTGTTTCACAGGATACAACGACAGATGAATAGCAATAGAAACATCACTCTTCTATTCTAACGAACTGAATAAAACCTTAACTCTAATAAAAGAAAACCTTAAAAATTAGAAAGAAAATAACATATGGAAAGAGCTTTCATTTTTTTTTTATTTTTTTTTTTGTGTGTGTTTGAAATGAGAGGAATAACTCCTTTTTATATTACTCAAGATAGGACAAAACATTAAATTCCATCATTATTTTCCACATTTTCACTTTTCAATTCTTAAAACTTCCTTTATTAATCTACTAACCTTTCACCTTTCAAATTCTCAACTAACACCACCATTTTCATCCAATTTAATAAAATATTCCAACACTTACCATGATTGTGTAAAATTTATTAGTAGTTTCGTGTGAAATTTTATGAATCCGATTTCCAGTTTGTTTTAATCAATGATAAAAGCAGTTGTGGTTAATATATACTTATTTTTAAGTAATCATCCTAAATAATTGGATTGTTTTTAATAAATTAACAAAATTTATATTTATAATTAGCCAACCCGTAGTTTATAATTTTTGCATTTTAAAATTTTTATCAGGGAAACTCCCGCGTTAACATTAATGAGATATAATTATCATATAACGGCCATATTATGTAATTAATAAATTATATTAACTAATGTATGCATATATAAAATTAATTATATAAATTATTTTCTTATAATTGATATAATAATTTATTCTTTTTTTTTTAAATGAGTAGACAACGTATTCCCATTCGAGATTAGTAAAATCCCAAATTGATACCTTGGTTGTATTTATTATAGATTCTTACTATTAAACTAATACCCTTAGTGACTATTGAAGGTGGGTGGAAATGGTAAATGAGATCGATAATTAAAAGTATGAGTTTTTTTAGAAGAGGTTGTTGGGAGTCCAACGGTGGTTTGAGAAGTGATTTTGGACTTCCGGAAAAGCCAAAAACCATATTACTAACGTGGGCTGCTTTTTTTCTAACATGCACCCTTCTTTGACCCAAAAAAGTGTCAGTGCAATCTAGCGCACTAACATGCGCCGCACTGTATTTTCTAAAACTCGCGTGTGGGAATATATCGTTTGCTCTTTTTATATTTATCTTTCATATAATTTCTTTTTATATTTGTCTCTAATATAATTTCTTTTTATATTTATCTTTAATATAAATTATTCGATCACATTGAACACATCAGTTCTTGTAGTATTTATAGTATGAGTTTGTAAATGAATTATTATTCTAAACGAATATAACAATCATATATAGATTTGTGAAGACAGTATATAAATAGAACAGCTCTTGATCAATCCCGCTCGATCTCACTCAGACGAGCTCAAAAAAATTCAAAAAGAAAAGATGCCAGAAGCAGAATCAAGCGCTAATTTTCGAAATGCGAATCATACAGTTGATCCCGTCGATCATCTTCCACTCTCTCTTCTCCGATCCGAGTACATCCCGGCCGCACCGACCCGATCCTTATCCACAATCGACTGGTTACCGGAGTTTGCCGGTTACTCATGGGTGGCGTACGGAGCATCTTCTCTTCTGGTGATCTCTCATTTTCCTTCTCCCCTCTCCCAAGATGAAACCCTAATTGGTCCCATTTTTCGCCAATTTTTCGAGCTCTCCGATGATACAACGCCCGTCAGTGCCGTTTCTTGGTCTCCCGTAGCTCCTTCAATTGGCGGCCTTGCTGCTGCCTCGGGGAATTGCATCTATGTCTTTACTCATGATTCGGGGACCTCCAAAGGTATTAAGAGTCTTTCTGCGTTTGCTTTTCTGTTTGTTTACCAAGAAAGTTGATGGAAAGAATATTAGAAACCTACTAGCATGAGTACACACTCTCTATTACTCATACTTAGCCTTGCAAGAAAACTATTTTCTTCACAATTTTTATGGTTTAGTTCATAAGAAATGTTAGCCGTAAAATTGGTTAATTATAAGTTACTTTTTGTTTAGTTATTTTTTTTCTTCTAAATTTTTCGCAATGTCGGTTGTTATAACACGTACATTGGAGTCTGAACTACGTTGCTGAGTTCATCAAATGCTGAAGTTAAAAAAAATTCGCGTTGCACTATACTGCTTTTTACCATATTCTTATTCTGATATTTATCTTTGTTACTTTTCATTTCGAGTTTATGGGTTCTTCTGTCAGCATATGTGTCTCAAAAGAGATAAAAAAAAAAACGGTGAAGAAGCATGAAATCAGATGCACAAGACCATATACCTAGCTGATTGTTAATCAGATAATCAGCTGTTTTAATTATTTCTTAAAATATTCTGTTTAGTTCGAATTCAAATTTCTTTTACTCATATTCAGGTTCTTTTTGTTGGAGCCAGAATGCAGTACTCATACAACGTACAAAGGTGGAGGCAATTCAATGGACGGGGTCTGGGGATGGGATCATTGCTGGTGGAATTGAGATCGTTTTATGGAAAAAGCAAAACACATCCTGGGAAATAGCTTGGAAGTTTAAAGAGAATCAGCCTCAAAATCTTGTTTCTGCAACTTGGTCTATTGAGGGACCTTCTGCAACTGCAGCTTATATGTATAAACCAGACCTTGGAGGATCTAATGAGGCAGGCAAGTGTGTTTTAGTTTGTTACAGTGATGGAAAATCTGAATATGCCAAAGTCAGGCTACGTCATCCTCAGCCCATTGCAATGATTCAATGGAGGCCATCAACGAGAAGGCAATTCCAGGGAGATGCAAAACATTCATCTAGGCATGTGCTGCTAACATGCTGCTTGGATGGAACTCTAAGATTATGGAGTGAGATGGATAGCAGAAGGGTTAAAAAAGTTGGCAGGGACATTAATGATCGTAAAACCATGGGACGATCTTTTTGTGTTGTTGCTGTGATTGAAGTAAATCAGGCCTTGAATGGAGATCTTGGAATGGATGTGTTTTTTACATGGGCAACGGAAAACACAAGCATGTTTAAAACCAGTCAAGGGGACAACCAATTTATTTCTGCTGGAGGATTTGAGCGTGGAAGGGCTGGCAAATGTGAGTGGTTAATTGGGTTTGGTCCTGGAATGCTGGTTACTTTCTGGGCTATCCATTGTCTTGATGACATCAATCCCTTAAGGTTCCCACGAGTTACATTATGGAAGAAACAAAGCCTGGAATCTGGAAATCTAAATAGAAGTGGTTTTCCAAATTTTAAGGAGCAACTAATTCTTAATAAAGTTGTTATTTTAAGAAACTGCGTTTCTGGTCCTCCAACTGTTTGCTCTTTGATTCATCTATCACCTTGTAACTCCTTGGTTTGGTCCTTTTTGCATACCCAAACATCAAAAAACATAGAGGATATATCTCCTAATGAATCCCAAACAGGAAACTTCTTGTCATTTTCAGCAAGTAGGGTTTTAAATATAGATGGTCACACGGGAAAAATCTTACAAGTTGCTGTGCATCCTTGTGTCTCCGAAGTTGAACTTGCTGTTTCTCTTGATTCTAATGGGTTGCTGTTATTCTGGTCTCTTTCTACCATTTCAAACAGCATCTCTGCCTTCCCAACGTTGATTCCTACATGGAAACTTTGTGGAAAACTTGGAACTCAAGGTTTGTGTTCGAAATATACGGCCTTGAGCTGGGCTCCTTCAATGCTGCATGAAGAAAGGGTTCTTCTTATGGGTCATGTTGCAGGAATAGATTGCTTTATAGTAAAGGTTTCTCAAACTGAAGAGAACGGAATATCATGTAATTACATATGCACTATACCTCTTAGTGGTCATAGGACTTATGAGGAAGGTCCTGCAAATATATTTTCTATACCTTTGCCTTCTTGTAACAGTAAAACGGTAAAGTATAATAAATTTTTGCTTTTGGGGGTGTGGATGAATGGGTTTGAGGCCCTATCATGGGAAATCACCTTACACCCTGTTGATTTACTGGAAAGATGCTGTGAATGTAATGTTGACGATAATGCTGTTAAATGCATTATGTGGAAGTTTGGAATTACTACTTCTGAAAAAAGATATTGCATTGCTGTCTATCCCCGATCATCCCAATTTCCTGAGGCTCACACAAATAATCAAATTACAAGTTTTGCTGTGGTCTGTCCAAGTAGTCTGATACATGTGGATCAAAAGTTAGCTGATGATGATGATCTGTGCAGCAAAATTCCTGCATATACTATGGCAACAGGCTCCTCTGATGGTATTTTGAAACTGTGGAGAAGTAACCTTGGTAGCCCATCAACCCCTGACATGCAATGGGAGCTTGTAGGTATGTTTGTCGCTCATCAAGGTCCTGTTTCTACTATGTGCTTGACTAATTGTGGTCTGAAGATTGCTACCGTTTCTTCTAAAAGTGATTCAAATGCTGGGAGCACACTTTCTGTATGGGAGTCTGTATACCTTACAGGGTTTGGTAGTTTCATATTGGAAGATACATTATCCTTTGACAGAAGTGTTGTTGCTGTAAATTGGTTAACTTTTGAAAATGGTCAATTCTTACTTGGCGTGTGCATGGAAAATGAGCTGTGGATATATGCACAGAGGCGTTGTGGTGGTCAGACTTTGCTGAACTCTAAAAAGTCTTTTAAAATGCAAATTTGGTTGTGCATTGCATTTGCTCATACTTCTCCTGCTATTCATGGCCTCTTTTCTGGTCGCAGGGCCACAGCTATTGTTGTGCACAATAGCTACTTTAGTCTATTTAGTAGGTGGTTGTTTCTCATTGATAAAAAACATCAGGCCAAATGCCGTTCAAATTTTGTTGTGGACAATTCTTCCTGTCTTGACTATGGAACAGATACAAACACTGTTTGTGCTATGTCCACTGGTTGTGATATTGGTGGTGGTTTCAAAGTATCATCAGTTGAAGATCTTAGAGGAGAATGCAAGTCTGCTCTTTCTGTGATGACTGATGTGAAAAGTGATCTATCAAGAGTTTTGTTTGTATCAAGTGATCAACTGCAATTTGGTTCAGGAATCATGCTTGGTTTCTGGAGCATGCTGGAAATTGCTGAGAAGTTAAGGGGATCTTTGCCTGCTTATCATCCTGAGGCACTCCTTATAAATATATATTCAGGTATTATGAAGACAGTTTTATCCATTTTAATAAATATGCAATTTATTTTCGTGCTTCAAACTTTAGTAGGCTGTCTAAGCTACTGCAATGCTAGTTATAGCATTCATCTTTGATTGTCAGACAAGTAGACAGTTACATCATAAAAAAATTGCTTTATTGCATTTTATTCATCGTTGGTATCACTGGCGTTCTTTTGCTTGAAGGATTGTTTTTAATTGAAAAAAAAAAAAAAAACACATTTTTCACCTTTCTGGAAGGGGATAATGAAGAAATTTCTGGAAGGGGATAATGAAGAAATTTCATTCAGTGACTAGATCCGGAATAGACTTTTCAACCATCTAACAACTAGGCCTATCATCTAGGAAAAAATTTTTTTTTTTTTTTTTTTATTACAGTTCAGATGTCTTGCATTCATTTGACCTATCTATTAAAAATAAGAAACAGGAAAAAAGTACTTGAATACTATTAATGAATTTCTCTTTACTTTTCGTATGGGATGAAGTCTCTTCTATTTTTTGCGAAGCTTGGTAAAATCTTGTTAATCATTGAATGCCACTGTAATCATCCATTTGAATTTTGTAAAACTGTGGCCTAAACTTTATGTTATATTTTATACACACAAACATCTACTTTCAGGTATGATGTTTGTTGTTAATTACTTGTTTTGGGTCTATTGGAGGCCCATGGAGCCTTTTCTCCTGTTGCGAAACCTGTTTTCCCTTATATATAGGATTTGATCCCATGTCTCTAGGCAACTGGTGCCTTCTAAGCTTGCTGACACCGACTATTTATTTATTGTAAGTAAAGTCATATTTATTTTCTTGTGAATATCTTGGACTTTGTTTGTCAATCTTGAAGGAAATTACTCTTCTTCCCCAACCTTTCTCTATTCCTTTCCCTTCTATTTTAGTCATCTGCATATTTTGTCTATGGTATGATATATGTGGACACTGGAAGTTCTTATTAATATTAGGCAGGCTGAAGGATACTTTGTTTATAAATTTTTGCTATTCTTTTGTGAAATATTATCAATTTACTTGGTGACTAAAAATACATACAAATATATTAAAGAAGTTGAATTGAGATGGTCTACCTTACATGGTCATGGGTGTTCGCATCCTCGAAAGGAATGGTACTCATGACCTTGCAGCAGAAATATTTGATTGTCAAATTATTTTCAGCTAACATTTGTCCTATTATCAAATTTGTTTTGTAATATGCTGACAATATATTGATTCTCTTCCTGTGAGGTCTCCATCTTTCATTTAATTTTGGGAAGCAGGTCATTTATAGCTTCATATTTAATTGTATGTTAAGGCTAATGATATATTACTGAAAGAATGTTATTTCTAATGTCTTTAGGCAATTGGAAACGTGCATATGTGTCTTTGAGGCATCTTGTTGAATACCTTACTTCAAATAATGTCTCAGAGACGATATATCCCTCCACAAAGTCTGGCCATATTGTCCCACAGATCCTTTTGTCAAATTATTTTGAAGGGTTTCTCTCCAAAGGTTCAGCCAATAGTGAATTTAAATGGAATGGGGTTGATACATCAATGACATCTTCTTCACAGTTTAATGGAGGCATTACCCAGTTTGCTTACAATTTTGCGTCCGTTGATGCTTCCACTTATATGGTTAATTCATCATCTCCAAAATCTGAACTTGGTGGCTTTGTTGAGTCTCTTGAGAATTTAAATGGGCTACCAGCTATAACCACCATAGAGAAGATGGAAATTCTTGCGGTTATTGATCTACTCAAAGAAGTTAGTAATATGCAATCTGCTTCAGCCTATGAAAATCTTGATGAATTTGGCCGAAGGTGCTTCCACAATTTGTTTATTGCATTATTTTGTTGCCCAATTACTGTTCTATGGCATTTACTGCATGGTGTACTAACCAATGATTTCAGATTTTGCTAAACGGACTTGGCTCAAATGTGGTTTGATCTTAGATCTTACTTAGTGCCAGCTCAGTATATAGTTCCGTGATGTAAATTTTTTCAATGATTTTTCCTTGCTGACAAGTAGACTGAGTTATTAGTGCTCAAGGGAGGTGGGCCCAGCACATAAATTTTATGCAAAAATTGCAACTCTTCAAGGCTCGGCAAGGGCAAGACAATAGTCTAATTTATAAAGGACAGAGTCTAAATGTTGTGCAGTGGATTCTCATTCCTCAAAACGGTTGTTTATTTATTGAAAACTGTTTTTCATTTAGTGAATCTGCACCACTTATAGGGTTTTTTGCAGTCCCATAGAGAGAATTTTTTGTCTGCATTAATACTACTAATCTCAAAGCTTGTACTTGATAGGAAAAGGCTCTACAATGCTATATAAATCTTAAAGATGCCCCACATGTGCGTCACCAGATTTAATTAGTAGGATTGTGGCTTGGATCCAAATACAGATCCAACCTAATGTGTGATTTTTACTTAATAGAATTAGGAGATTCTACGTAAGACCTTTTAAATCAAGCTGATTGTGATACCATGTTGAGACAGTACAATTCCTAGAAGCTTAGGTCGTTAAAAATGGTGCCTACACTGGTATTTAAACTTCCAAACAAATAGTTTCAACTTAAGTTGTAGCATACAATTATTTTATTTAGTCTTTGTGCCTACTCTGATTTAATGTTTTATTTGCGGTTGTAACTGTAAAGTAATAGTGGTATTATTTCAAACTTTAATTCTTCTTTCAATAGTTTTTTATTTATTTATTTTTAATTTTGATAGTGATTTGTGTATATTTTTTAATTGTTTTATCGAAGGTTTTGGGTGGCATTAAGGTTTCAGCAACTACACTTTTCTCGAAGGTTTGGTAGATCGGCATCTGTGGAAGAGTTGGTTGTTGACTCCAGGCTTATAGGATGGGCTTTCCACTCTGATTGTCAGGAAGCTTTGTTTGGTTCTGTTCTATCTAATGAACCATCTTGGCCAGAAATGCGGGCACTGGGTGTTGGATTTTGGTTCACTAACATGACACAATTGCGTATAAGGGTAACATTCGGAGCTTTTCATTGTTTATTAATTTATTTTACACTGTATTTCAATCGTTAGTTTTTTACTTTTTTTATATAATAATATATCAATCTTTAATTGCAACAGGACTCTGTCCTTTTTCGGGTCTCCTTCTTGGAGGTCTTGGTTAATCTTTTCTGTTATAAATTTGCATTATTAGTGTCAGTTGTACTTGATTTTCTGCACCATTCATATACCATCTTACAAGTAGATTTATCCTGGAAAACCTGCAAATAAAGATCATGTTGGTCTGACTACCGTGGAGTCTCACATTAATTCATTTCTGAGTAAGCTAGTAATATGATCACCTTTTTTCTAGTGGAATGCAATTTAGTAGGATTGACCAATAGAAATATGTTATGGAATATGATAATCTAGTTTTCTTTTTGTGCACCAATTTTGCTTTTAGTTGATATATGGATAAATAGTTTGTTTTGTCAGGCCCGGTAATATATATAGCATTGCAGGACAGGAGAGTTGACTTGTCCTACCTAGAGAACCCATTTGGAAGAGACATCTCATTCACTCTTTGATTTCAGATTTGGCTTTCTGCATCAGCAATAGGTTGATTATTTTGGAGTTAGGGTAGCTATGCCTTACACGTGATTATTGTTTAGTCGGTGTCAGATTGCAGTTTGCTTCATTGCAGTTTATCTATGGGGTTTGTTATCAGAAATAGGTTTGTTCAAGTGTCACTATGTCCAGAATTTAAATCTGACCGATAAGGTCATGACAATAGTATTTAAGCTCTATAAACCCCCTCATATGCGAGGCACATGGATAGATCATACTACAACCGCGAATGGAAAAGCTTATTATTGTTTTATTAAAACAATGAAAGGAGTTAAAGGCAAAACTAGTTGAACTTGGCAGGGATACCGTGTTAAGTAATCACTTGACCCAAAGTTAGCAGTGTTCTCTATTGGTTTGATCATGTTCGTGAATAGCAGTTGCTGCAAGAGAGAAATTGGTTCCTTAACTCTTGAAATTTCTCTGCTCCAATATTTTCTTACAAGGCAATTTGTTTTGTTCTTTCTTTTCTCTTTTTATTTTCTACTTTTTTGTTTGTTGCATTATGATGTATGTCATCTGGGGTATTCTGATGGACAACATATGTACTGTCACATCTCGACTCTGTAATAAAAACAGTTAAAAGATGTTTTACTTGGCGATTTCTGATGCTACTCTTTAATTGTAGATGGAGAAACTGGCAAGATCACAGTATCTGAAGGGCAAAAATCCTAAAGATTGTGCACTTTTGTATATAGCTTTGAATCGACTTCAAGTTTTGGCTGGCCTGTTTAAACTTAGTAAAGATGAGAAGGACAAACCCCTGGTGGCATTTCTTTCGCGCAATTTTCAGGTATGTGTAAAGTTAGATGATTTTAAGTTCTTGATGTGATGATTGTTGCATTTGTGGTAAACATAACGGAACTAATTTCCAGGAATCTTTCTTGGAAGAAGCTTTCACTAGTTTATTTTTCCTGGTTAAATTGTTGGTAATATTATTATAATATCGTTCTGAGTTTCTCGAATTCAAACATTTTTGTCAGTGTATTTTATGATGTTAACGTGCTGAAGGGAAGACACTAATCGATTTTGTCCAGCATGTTTAGATTCAATTTGTATTTTAATTACTTCTATGAGAGGAGAAAAATAAGGGAGCTGCTTTGAAAATTCTTATGTCTTGCTGGGTAGATTATTACCTGTACAGTTTCCTAGATTCTAGTCTTCATAAATGTTTGTTGACTGTTGCATTTGATGATGTTGGTTTGCTGAGCTAAATTTGGTTAATTATTCTTCCATATTTATTTCCATTCTCTATTTGCATCAATTGCTTTTGCAGGAGGAGAAAAATAAGGCAGCTGCTTTGAAAAATGCTTATGTCTTACTCGGTAGGCATCAACTAGAGCTGGCTATTGCTTTTTTTCTGCTTGGGGGTGACGCAGCCTCTGCGATTAATGTGTGTGCAAAAAATCTTGGGGATGAACAGCTGGCGCTAGTAATTTGCCGGCTCCTAGAGGCGCGTGGTGGACCATTGGAGCGTCATCTTATCGCAAAGTTTATACTTCCATCTGCCATTGAGAGGAAAGACTACTGGCTTGCAAGCCTTCTGGAGGTTCCTTATATATGATATTTATCTATTTCCAGATTCTCCCTCCACCCCCCCTCCCCCCTTTCTCCATTAAACATTCTTCTGTACTGCTTTATTTGTTACCCCTTTCCACTTTCTAACTAGTCTCAAATTATAAAAAATTCATTTGCTTTTGCAGTGGGAATTAGGGAATTACTCTGAGTCATTTCTGACCTTGACCGGTTTCCGAGAAACTACTGTTACCAACAAGTTTGCTGTATTGTCCAATAATGCTGCTTTTGTGGATCCCAGTATTGGTTTGTATTGCCTCACCCTAGCAAACCAAAATCATATGAAAAATGCTATCGGGGAAAAAAATGCTGCTATCCTTGGTAGATGGGCAACTTTGATGAGAGCTACTGCTTTAAACAGATGTGGGCTTCCTGTAAGTTAATTCATTGTCAATGTTCTTGTTTCTGGATAATTAATACTTGAATTAATATTTTGTTTGAGCCCTGTCATTTCAGAGTCAACATACATGCACACACATAATTTTCCAATTCTTAAAGTATTTAAAATATTTAAAGAACTGTTACTGATTAAAATTGTCTTCAACTTTGATAGTTTTGATTGGGTTACAGCTGCATTGAGACTATAAGCTTTATATACTTTATTGCTATCCTGATCTCAAAAAGTTACCCTACTGTGCGATATTGTTTCATGTGTTGTTCTCCTACATGTATCATATGGCACTATTTAAATGATTTATGTTTAATAAAACAAATACTGCGTGTAAGAATGGGATTGCATGGTTGGATTTTTATTTATTTTTTGATACACAGAAATCCCTTAAACAATTCTAGTATATTCAAAAGGACTCTTGGAGCTAGGAAACTGCTAAAGATTGCTAGAAGCTAAACCTTTTTTAATAAGTTTTTGCTTTGGCTAAAGTTTGAGCCTTTGCATCCTTTTTTTTATATATAATTTTCACTTAGCTTCTAGTGTGGCTGTATGCAGTTGAAATTGTCTTTATTTTTGGTCACTAGTGTGACATTATGTTTCAATCAGAAACTGCAATTATTAACTTTTCGTTGTCCATTTTAAGCTTGAAGCTTTGGAGTGCCTTTCATCTTCTCCCAGCACTATTGCGGTTACAGATCAAGGGAGTATACCAGATGTTGAACATTCTCAAATTATTCCTGCAATTCTAAAGCCTTCTGCGTGCGATGCTTCTAACTGGCTGTCAGGTGATGTGGCTTTGCATCTTGAGTCGCATGGTAAATTGGATTTAGCTCTTCAATATTTCTCAAAATTGATGTGGGAGCATCCTAGTTGGCCTAATCTAGGATCTGATAGAGCCAGTACATGCTCTATGGATCTTGAAACTCATCAACACGAGAAAATACTAGAAAATTTTCAATGCAAGTTATACACTGGACTTGCATATCTTAAGCAGAGATTTGCATTGGAATCTTCCTGTCTAATCAGCATGGTATATATTCTACAGACTATGATACTATGCTTTAATTTATCTGTCTGATGCTTTTCTCACATTAATTGTGTAAGAGGGACTGATTTGTTTTTGTGTTTCCCTTTGTACAGATTTTAGTCTTGTTGTGCAACAACGGGTTATTATTTATTGGATATGACATATTACGTGGATATACTTGTCAAGGACTCTCACAAGATGAGAGCAATGTAAAAGATAGCTTCCTCTTATATTATCTTCAGCATAAGCCACTTGTGAAAGCTACTGAAGATTTCTCCTTTTTTATTTCACGGTTTATTGCTGCCTCAAGCATTACTTGCTTCAATTTGAAACCACTTCATATTGAAAATGGCCTGTGTAGAGAAGTTGGATCAGCATGTTTAAATGCTTGGAAGCATTACTTTGAATGTGTTATATTGTCATTGTGGAGTTTAAGAGCTGCTATGAGGAATTTTTCTGGCTACTTAACTGAAGAACTCATTATGGAACCCCTTGTTCTTCTTGATTTATACGAGTATTATGTGCATTTTGCCTCTGCTTGGCGTCAGAGAAATTCAAAAAGTATTCTTCTGCTCGTGCAACCTCTCTTGATTACCTATACCAATGGGCATACTCCCTACGAAGTTAATATGGTGAATCTGAAGAAAATTTTCCACCAAACTGCAGAGTTGGTAGCCTGTACATCAATTGATAATGTGGAAGGGATGCTTCAGGTTCCTAAAATTATTGATGATAAAAAATGCGATCTTATGCATTCAATTCCAGAAGATGAAAGATGGCATATCATGGCGGCTTGCTTGTGGCAACACATGTCCAGATTCACTAAACATAAGCTTAATTCTATATCCGTGAAACTTGATGACAATCATTCTACTGGTGTAATGGAACACATCAGGCTGCTCTCCTTGATATTGAGCAAATCATTGAAGTCCACATTGTTACATGTTTCTTCTTATCATGTAAAACAGCTTGCAATATTCCTGCAGCAGAAAGTAGAGATTGGACATGACGTTCCAACTTGTCGATGGTTAGATGAGTCTAAACTGTCTCAACCTGGAGTCCTCTATCCACATCTACGTGAGGGTGCTGCAAGTATGTACATGATGAATAACAAGGATGAAGCTGTATCTGAATTACTCTGGGATGCTTGTGCTGATGCAAATATGATATTTGAAGGTTTTGTGCAAGAAAAAATAAATTGGCAACATCATATCCATAGTAAACGTTCTAAAGGATGGACTCACATAAATGAAGGTGTCATGATGGATCACGAAAATGAGGCAGCTCACAACCATGGAGGCAATTCTAGCAGTACTTCTGCTGGTGGTGAAGTTGGACTGCCTGGTAAGGGCCTTTTTCGAAATGGCCATGCTTTACTGAGCTCCTGGCAGAAAGATACAAGCATTGTAAATGAGGTTACACCTTTCCAATCCCCTCAAGAAATATACAGGAGAAATGGGGAGCTTTTTGAGGTAATTGTTCTTTCTTTTTTCCATTGCATCTTTTGTCCATATGATACATTGATTTCCTTCATTGAAGGCTCTGGCCTCAAATTGATTAAGGATGGTTTCAGTCCTTTCATCTCCAGATATTTTTCATTTATCTGATTCTCACTAAATATTTTACTTTGAGCAGACAATGTGCATCAACTCTGTTGATCAAAGGCAGGTAGTAGTTGCTAGCAATCGAAAGGTTTGTCTCTGCACACAAAATCCTTCTTTTTTTCTGGGAGTGTTAGCTCAGGGAGTGATAAATTCCCTTGTTTGTATATTTTTAGTAAAACTATATCTTTTATATGGAAAGGTTTTTATTTCATTCTTTGTTTTTTGCAGTTGATAATAATTTAGTCAATAGTATAATATTATGTGCACATTTTTGACATATTCAAATAATAGGATATATGCATTACTCACACAATCAATCACATGAAGAGTACTCAATTTCAAATTTTATGTGTTTCAGGGAATAGTTTTCTTTGATTGGGAAGATGGGCTGCCTTTCAGAGGTCAAGCTGAATATATTTGGTCAGATGCTGATTGGCCACATAATGGTTGGGCTGGTTCAGAATCAACCCCCATGGCAACATTTGTTTCTCCTGGCATTGGTCTTGGGAGCAAGAAAGGGGCACGCCTTGGGTTAGGTGGTGCTACCTTTGGCTTGGATTTGTCAGCAAGACCAGCGAGAGATTTGACTGGTGGTGGAGCATTTGGGATTCCAGGTTATGCTGGTATTGGAGCATCTGGCTTAGGTTGGGAGATTCAAGATGATTTTGAGGAGTGTGTTGATCCACCAGCTACATTGGAAAATATAAGTACAAGGGCTTTCTCAAGTCACCCCTCCAGGCCTTTTTTCTTGGTTGGTTCTAGCAATACACACATTTACTTATGGGAGGTATGCAACTTTGACAGCTAAAAGAATATCATTTTTAAGGCTTTATCTTTTTTTTTTGTGTGTGTGTGTGTGTGTTCTTTGTCATAGGTTTTCTCCTTGGGAGAAGAACTCTTGCACAAAAAGTGTAGAGACAAACTTTTTCAGATTTTCTTCATTAAGGATGAAATGTAGTAGTCTTTGTTACTCATTATCAGGTCAAGCTTGGGGTACAGTGAAATGGTCCTATTTTATCATAGTTCGGAGATTGCAGGCATGATGCCAGCTTATTTTATCCAATGTTTTGAAAGTTTGCAAGGGAAAGGGAAAAGAATACTCATCTTTAAATGAATGTCCAATATTTTAGCTTGTAATGTTTAATTTAATTTACAGTACTGGTTAGACATGTACATATTGGGAGCCTTACCTGTTTCTCTTGCTGACTAGCAAGCTGATCCATCCCAGTTACTGTAACTCTATGCATTTTTCAGAACCACCAGTCAACAGCTAATGTAAAAGCTGCTAAGTTTTTGTTAATATCTCAAACCTTTAGGAATATTTGGCTTACGTGGTTTATATCTATTGCAGTTTGGTAAGGATAAAGCAACTGCTACTTATGGCGTGCTTCCTGCTGCAAATGTTCCTCCCCCATATGCTCTTGCATCAATTTCCGCTTTGCAATTTGATCACTTTGGGCACAGATTTGCTAGTGCTGCACTGGATGGAACTGTATGCACATGGCAGCTCGAGGTGGGAGGAAGGAGCAATGTCCGTCCGACAGAATCATCACTCTGCTTTAATAGCCATGCAGTGTATGATTCCTTTTCTTTCATTACTTTACTAGTAGATCCATGAGCAGATTCTAAAGTTCTCACGTTAATTTCCTAAATAATAATAATACCTCCAATTCTTTGAAATGATGAAAAGTGGCTTCTGCAATCAACTTGTAGTTTCACCTGTGTAGGTTGGCTTTTTTCTGGCACTCATCTCATTATGCATTTAGCTTATGGTAGTTGTCAAAATATTGAAAAAATCTGTGGCAACATTGTAATGGCCTTGGTTTATGAATTTGGGGCATGTTTGATTAATCATATGGTGCATCTTTGTACTCTCTGATTTATTCTTTTCCTGTATCCATGTAATTATCTCAGCTTCCTTTTTCCACTTGATGCCGCTATCATGTTGAGATTTAACTGACACTTAAATTAGGGTCTTTTCTATTGTTAAGATGTTTCTTCATGTTACGAAATAGTCATTATTAACCAGCTGTTGTTTGATTGCAGGGATGTCACTTACATTACTTCAAGTGGGTCTGTTATTGCTGCAGCTGGACATAGCTCTAGTGGTATTAATGTGGTTATATGGGACACATTGGCTCCACCTACAAGCTCCAGGGCTTCCATCATTTGTCATGAAGGTTTTTTCCTCTATCCTGTTAAAGATTTTAAAACTTCAATAGGGTGGAAAAGTCATGTTTGAGTCTTCTTTTATTGACATTAACCTTTGGTACTTACATTTAAAACAAGAAATGTTACAACTTTTTTCATGATCACTCATAGGTAGCAGTTCTGTGTTTGCTTGTGGTTTCAGAAAAAATCTGTTTCTTGACATATGATATATGAGGGATTTTCTGGTTTTTGAAGTAATTATAGTGAAATATTGACCCAAAAAAGAAAAAATTACCCAACCTTTTAAGTCAATTTGAGATGTGGGAGTCTCATGGCCAGTTCTTGGGAGTGTGTGGTGAAATTGAAATTGAAATTGAAATTGACTTATTATCAACAATGAATGGGAAAATGTACATTACTAGTACATGATGTACATCAATGGTGTGATTTCATATGATGCATCACAGTTTGGTACATTTATTGTTCGTATGTTGACTTTTTAGATTTCGTTTGTTCAAAAACTTGTTCTTTAGTTTAGCAGTATCTCCCATTTATAATCCGTACTCACCCTTTTCCTTTTCATGTGGAGGTGGTGCGCGCTCCATTTCTGTGTTTGATAACAACATTGGAAGTGGATCTGTTTCTCCCCTTATTGTGACTGGTGGTAAAGGTGGTGATGTTGGAATTCATGACTTCCGGTACATAGCAACTGGAAGAGCTAAAAGGCACAGGCACTTGGATACTGGTGAACTAAGTATAAACTCTTCTGCAAATACTGATACGCGAACAGGCTTTGGGAATAATCCTGGAGACCAGAATGGGATGCTTTGGTATATACCAAAGGCTCACTTAGGTAGAGGCATTTTTCTCCCCTGATAATTTTAACTGTATATTAGAGATTTAATTTAATTTATTCATAATCTAATTTATTCATTTAATTATCTGCTTGAAGGGAGTGTCACAAGAATATCTACCATCCCAAATACCAGTTTGTTCTTAACAGGAAGCAAAGATGGAGATGTTAAACTTTGGGATGCCAAAGCGGCCAAGTTAGTTTATCATTGGTCAAAATTGCATGAAAGGCACACCTTTTTGCAGCCAAGCTCTCGGGGTTTTGGTGGAGTTGTTCGGGTAATCAATATATTTCCATTAATTCTGAACCTTCCTATTTTTCAAATCATATTTGGTTAGATGTATAGATAGCATTTGGTTTTGCTGAAAAAAAAGTACTTTTAGCTGCTTATCTGCACTGAAGCCTTGTCATGTATAAATGTCACAGGCTGCTGTCACAGACATAGAAGTTGTTTCTCATGGGTTTCTTACATGTGGTGGAGATGGTTCTGTGAAGCTGGTACAACTCAAAGATTTTACCAACTTCGGATGTGAATATGTTGAGCAACTTCTATTTTAATCTCACAGGGCGATCTTACAGAACTGTGAATTGGGGGTAACTTGGAATTCTGAGAAATTGGTTCATAGTGCAAGCTCTGTCCATTTTCACATCGGACCCTATCATGTATATATTTATCATGAGTGTCCTATACAGATGACCTCTCTGCCATTCGTTTTCAAAAAGATTTCCATAGGAGCCTGGAAAACACCTAAATTTTTGGTGTATTTACTTCAGGAAGGAGAAAGAAGGTAGAATCATGTGTCCTACCTCTGACCTAAAGGTTTTTGTCATAAACAAAGCCAATAAACACTATTGGAAATACAAATTTTCCCCCTTTTCCACATTTGTTATGTCTGGTACCATATAAATGGCAGCAACACAACGCTAGGCAGAGTCTTTTTGAGTAAAGGAAAAACAGTGTGTTGGTACTGAGGCGTTCATACAGTATTGAAATTTGAAACAGTTCTGTCTCGTCATGCTAATGCTGTGCACTATGTCCGGGTTTTGAAGTGCTTATGCGAATCAAGAGGAAGCACTACATTAAGTTCTGATCCAAGTTTTGTATAATTTTTTTTTTTTTTGAACAGAATTTGTTGTGCGGTCTAAATTAATTTATTTTGTAAATAGTGGAGTCGGTGTATTTGTAATTAGTGGAAAAGCAATGTCAAATACCGACATTTTTTATTATTACCCTCCAATATTCTCCGTTTGCAATTCGGTAGTAGCCACCCGAAGTTGAAAATAACTAAATTCAGATTTTGTGGGGATAACTGTGGGTCGCCAATGTTTTTACTTAAATCTTTGGTCTCGATCGTTCCACGGAGAGAACAAACTATTTTCAAACCGACTTCTTTACCATTCATCAATCACTATTCACTTCTATTCTAGGAGTGGGCGGGGCGGTTGCCAGTTGGACTTTAAGGCTTTGCATAAAGTGTTGATCATGTTTAGAGAGAAAAACAGAGCTATTTCTATGGGTAGTGCACGAAGCTGTAAGTCCCTGTGATAAACACGTGTCACATACTCTCCTTTGTGCCGTCGTTTCAGTGCATAAGTTGAGTGCTAACCGCAAACTACAATAAAGTCAACAAGATATAGTACTATCAACGAGCTTTCAATACAATAGCCTTTTAGGTTGTTTAACTTTTACCTAACTTAAATTTCCTTTATCTAAATCTTTAATCAACTGATACGTGGACTCAATGTCAATTGATTACCTGATTTTAGCAAAACTGCCATCTAAAGGTGATGGGATCATCCAACAAACCATGGGTACACACTGAATGCTTAATATAGAGCTGCCTTGATTATTACTCTACTTAAATTAACATTGTTTAATGATCATTCTCATATGGTCAAAACTCTGAAATCAAATCTCAAGCTTACGTGGGGTGGGGTCAATCACAAAATGCTGATTTTCGTACATATTTATTTGTAATTTTACTGATATTTCTTAGGAAATGCCGAAAAATTGGTTTGGATTAAATTAAATTCCAGATTTTTTTATTAAAAACGCCTCTTATTGAAGATAAAGGGTCTTATCTTGCAAACAAGTAGGACCCACATTCAACGTGTACCAATCAGATCACTCAAACGGCTAGTAACTTACAATCTTTCCAGTCACGGTTCTTTAACATGGACCCACTATCAAAATCTGAAAACGACCCGTTCATCTTCATACGTCGCCGTTTCTTACAGCACTTTTTTTTATTTTTTCCTTCTTCTTTTTTGGTTAATAAATGAAATGGAAAAGCCTGTATCGTGCAAAAAGACATAAGAGAATGATGATAACTGAACATCAAAAGAAATGCAACACCACCCCTTACTCTTCTCTCGTGTTCTTAGATTCTTTTATTAAATCTTATTCGGATCTGTAAATAAATTGTTTAAATTCCATTTATAGCTTTGCCTTAATTGGATCTACTTAAATACCTACTTCCCAAATTCAATTTCTTTTCATTTCAATTCTATTGGTTTGTACTTGCTCCCTTCTACTTTTCGTTCTTTCTTTTTCTTTTAATTTTGTGTACTTGTAATTCTGTTTTGTTGTATGCTTTTCTATTCGTTTCTTGGTTTTGTTAACATGTTTGCTGCTTGTCTCAACTGATCTTTCTCTTGTTGATGGCTTCTTCAATTTTGTTGGATTTTCATTTTCTTGTAAGGGAAATATATAAGGTAACATGTATTTCTGTTTGGATTTTTGAGTGATGATATTAGGATATTTCATATTTCTGAGTACTTCTTGGAGGAAATTAAAGCCCTGAATTATGAGGAAATAGCTGCATCATAGTTTTGTTTTAGCGTTATTGATAGTTTCTATTGTTAAGAAGGTATTATACTGGTTTCTGCAGAATTGAGAAAGAGTGCTTATCGGAATGAATGGAATTACATTAGATTATAATTTGAGGGATGGAGCTACATTAGATTATAATTTGAGGGTAATTAACTTTTAATTACTTAATGTGCTTTCAAACACTCTTCTATTTGCATTTAATGTTGTTTAGCAATCTTTTGCTTGCAATTCTGAAACACTTTATTGCTGTTGTAAGTATATTTTTCTTGAGTTTTTCCGGGAAAATCNATTGAAGATAAAGGGTCTTATCTTGTAAACAAGTAGGACCCACATTCAACGTGTACCAATCAGATCACTCAAACGGCTAGTAACTTACAATCTTTCCAGTCACGGTTCTTTAATTTGGACCCACTATCAAAATCCGAAAACGACACGTTCATCTTCAGACGTCGCCGTTTCTTACAGCACTTTTTTTTATTTTTTCCTTCTTCTTTTTTGGTTAACAAATGAAATGGAAAAGCCTGTATCGTGCAAAAAGACATAAGAGAATGATGATAACTGAACATCAAAAGAAATGCAACACCACCCCTTACTCTTCTCTCGTGTTCTTAGATTCTTTTATTAAATCTTATTCGGATCTGTAAATAAATTGTTTAAATTCCATTTATAGCTTTGCCTTAATTGGATCTACTTAAATACCTACTTCCCAAATTCAATTTCTTTTCATTTCAATTCTATTGGTTTGTACTTGCTCCCTTCTACTTTTCGTTCTTTCTTTTTCTTTTAATTTTGTGTACTTGTAATTCTGTTTTGTTGTATGCTTTTCTATTCGTTTCTTGGTTTTGTTAACATGTTTGCTGCTTGTCTCAACTGATCTTTCTCTTGTTGATGGCTTCTTCAATTTTGTTGGATTTTCATTTTCTTGTAAGGGAAATATATAAGGTAACATGTATTTCTGTTTGGATTTTTGAGTGATGATATTAGGATATTTCATATTTCTGAGTACTTCTTGGAGGAAATTAAAGCCCTGAATTATGAGGAAATAGCTGCATCATAGTTTTGTTTTAGCGTTATTGATAGTTTCTATTGTTAAGAAGGTATTATACTGGTTTCTGCAGAATTGAGAAAGAGTGCTTATCGGAATGAATGGAATTACATTAGATTATAATTTGAGGGATGGAGCTACATTAGATTATAATTTGAGGGTAATTAACTTTTAATTACTTAATGTGCTTTCAAACACTCTTCTATTTGCATTTAATGTTGTTTAGCAATCTTTTGCTTGCAATTCTGAAACACTTTATTGCTGTTGTAAGTATATTTTTCTTGAGTTTTTCCGGGAAAATCAGCAGGATTATATAAATTCTAAGTTAAAATTTATTAGATGTTAAAACTTGATGATTTCCTTTTTTTTTTTTGTTTTTTTTTTCCTTTTTTCTCAATATTTGTATGTATGCATAAGTGTCTTATGATAAGAAAGATTTATTATTCATCCTTGTTTAATGGGAAATCATTGTTTAATTCTCGAAAATGTTGATTGTCTCGATCACAGTATCTTGTTTCTCTGTACATGAAGTTATTCTCATGAGGACATTGTATGCTTAATCTTTTGATATGTTAAAAGACCATGAAAAGTTTTGCTTAATGCTTATAAACGGTTTTTTTATACAAGTTGTGTATTTGCCTGATCATGGGTATGACACATGTGAGTTTTTTGAGTTTTGTTATTTAATTGCTTTGCTTTTTTTTTTACTTTTTCCTTTCTTCTTTTTCCCCTTTTGTTGATGAGGAGAATTTTTAATGAATGTGGGAATATTTCTTCCTTGTATAGCCCATGAAAGTCCATTTTAACACATGTTGCAGTTCGATCATTTTTATCTGACTCAAGTAACAAGCTTGTCAGTGTATATTTAGGATACAATTTCGTCTGGTCCATAAACATGTAATAATTCTTTACAGATAAATGTCTCCTGAGTGTAATGGCGGCAGCTGAAGCAAGGGCTGTGTGGCAGAGGACTGCTAATCGTTGCTTTGTCCAAGAAGATGCCAAAAGAGCTCCCAAGTTAGCCTGCTGCCAATCATCATCTTCGTCATCAAAACAGATTGATGCAGGAGCTCCAGGTGTAGCAGATGCACCTGATAATCCTGCTCTAGGTTTCATGCCTCTGAACTGGAATCGGTCGTATTCCAATCTACCTGCTGATACAAGATGGTGGCTTCAACTGCAACCTAACTGTGGGTACCAAAAGGGTTTAACATGTGAGCAATTGAACTCCCTGGAGGCTGAGATGGAAGCCCTGAGAGCTGGCTTTGTAAAATCACCCTCCAAGGTTGGTGGGGAACACCCATCAGATGAAAGAGGTGTTACTCATGTTGATGGCAATAAAAACAGTGAGGTTCCTCATGATGTACATCATGGGGTCTCTGCTGTTTGTATGATGAAAGATCATGAAATTAGAAAACAAGATGTAGAGGCTGTAGATTGTAAGACCACCCAAGAATTTATTGAACTGATGGACACAAGAGAAAACTATGAATTTGTCGAAATAGATTCTGTAGGATGTCCAACTTCTAAAAAGCTCAATGAGAGCGATTTTGATCCAGAATCTCCCTGGATTGGGGATGGGAAGGGTGAACCATGGTGGCGCACAACAGATAAAGATGATTTGGCCTCCTTGGTTGCACAGAAGTCACTCGGCTATATGGAGAATTGTGACCTTCCTCCACCTCAGAAGATGCACCTTAGGAGAAACCCTTATGCCTGTTCTCCGGATATTAAAAAAGTTGAAGCATCATCTTTGGATTGGAAATTGGAAGCTGATCTTATCTCAAATCCAATTGTTCATGAACAGGGCTCCTCTGATCCTGGAGAAGCCTCAGTTGAAAAAGTGCAAACACCAGTTGTTTCTGATCAATCATTAAGGTAATATGTGTGTGTCAGTATTTACACATTTATTTACATGATAGCCAAATCCCTTAGCTTACTTTTAGCTGAACTTGCGACCCTATTATCAGGTATAGCACAACCCACAAGGACATCTCAGAAATACGACAAGTTTCTGAGAATGATCCTTGCAAAGCTCAGCTTATGGAAGCACTGCGCCATTCTCAAACACGTGCAAGGGAAGCTGAGACGGCAGCAAAGCAAGCCTATGCTGAGAAGGAGCACATCCTCAAACTCTTTTTCAGACAAGCCTCGCAACTTTTTGCATATAAGCAGTGGTTCCAACTGCTACAGCTAGAAGCCCTTTACTTCCAGATCAAGAACAGTGACCAGCCAATCTCCACTCTTTTTCCATTTCCTGTGGCACTTCCATGGACGCCTAACAGAGGTAAGAAACCGAGAAAGAGTTGGCAGAAGGCTGCTAAAGGCAGACGAGGCAAGCAAAGCCGCCGAAAACTTGACACATCAAAGTATGCCGTCGCTTTTGCTCTAGGGTTGGGTCTTGTTGGTGCTGGATTGCTATTGGGATGGACTGTGGGATGGATGTTATTCTAGGCCCTGTAGGTCATCATCGATCAAATCCCTACTTCTTGTGAAGATTCATTTACAAAGAGAGGCGTCAAAATCAAAATGTATCTGCTTATGTGTGTACTTTATTAGATTTCTTAGTCTTGTATGTACTTTCTCTTTTTCTGCCTCTCATCTACTCTTATGTAAAAATGATTTGATGAGCTGTTCATATGTATATATTGGTTGAACATGTAATCATACTGCGATTTCATTAAATTTGTCCTTGGTGATTTGTATATATTATGTATTTTAGTTTCTAATTTACTCTTTCTATGTGATATGCTTTCTTGTTTTAATATTTTTAAGGGACTTTGGTGCAGTTTCTTATTTGAGAATGAAACTATCACACTATTACTAGATTCACGATGTAGGATTTGGGCGAGGGTTGTGAATTTGGTGTCCCAATCGGATTAAGGACTATGCGTAGGGGTGGAAAAATCTGGTTAACCAGTTGCTTGAACCGAACTGGTTTTTGGTTTTAAAAATAAATTGAGCCGAAACTGGTCCGGTTTCGGTTATAAACCGGTTAATAAGATTAATGATGGGCTGCCTTTTCGGCCTAATTCGCACACTTCACTTATGGCCCATAAGTTATGGGCTGCGTTTTTTGCCCAATTCACACACTCCACTTTGGCTCTTTTTTTTTTTTTTTTACTTGAATTAAAGTTATATACTTATATTTATTGTAATTGAATTTGAATTCATATAATTTTAATGTCACATTACAAATCATACAAACAAAAGACCAAACTTCTCAACCCAGATGATTAAAACCAAAAAGGAGTCATATTCACATAGCTTTACTATTTTTTTTATTTCCTTCCTCTCTAACATCTTCACTTCAGCTCCGGACCCTTCAAATGAGAAGCTAGAACTTTACTAAAAGCTCCGCATCTTTCAGGTCATGCTTTCTAAACATTCCCTGAAAACTTTTAACATGTTAGAAAATGTTACAAGACATCAAATATCTGAGCCGTGGGCTCTCCTGTTCAGTGTTCATTGCAAAGAGATGAGGTCACCAAGAAATACAAAGCAAAGAGCCAAAGAGATGAGGTCACCCACCGGAAACAGACGACGACGTGGAGACTTGGTGAAGGAAGAAGAATGGTGACTGCCGACTGTTGAGCAACAGATCGGTGAGCAAAGATTGGTGGTGTGAGCAAAGATCGATGGCTACTGGCTGAGGTGTGACTGCATGACTCCGGCGTGAGAAGTGAAAACACAAATCTGAGAACTGAGAGTCCGAGAGAGAGTGAGAGACAGAGACTAAGTCACTGAGACTCTGAGAGTGTGAGAGACTGAGATTTACTGAGGTGAGCGTCTGAGTACCGGCGCGACTGAGTCTGAGTAGTGAGGTTTGAGATCTGAGTATTGGAGCAGTGGAGGCGTGGAGCTGCCGAGTGAAGACTGAAGTGAGTGTTAGAGTGTTACAGTTAGTGTAGTGACTTAGTGAGTGTTAGGGATTGCAAAGTAAAAAACTAAAATATATTTTTTTTTAAATTTCGATTCATAAAACCGGTTCCAGGTAACCGGAATTTATTGTGTCAAAAACCGAAACTGAACTGGATTTTCGGTTTTTTTAATATCCGAACCGACCGAATCGGATTTTTGGTTTTTTAATATCCGAACCGAAACCCAAAAAAACCGGATTTTCGGTCCGGTTTCTCGGTCTGGTTAGGTTTCTAGGTTTTTTTTTCCACCTCTATTAAGGAGGGTAAAGTTATGTCCAATATCTTAACATTTTTTTAAATTCGTTAAATCACGTACTCAATATATATTTATATATATTCACTGCAATTTGACATAGTATATTAAATTAAAAAAATCTATATCAAGTATCTGTAAACCTGTATGTAATTTCGAAAATATTACACGTTGATCGATAGTCTTTTAACTCTAAAAAAGGAGATCAACAGACAAGTGTAATTAGTTCACTTAAAAAAAGTAACAAACCCAGGGCCCGACCCGCTTTGACCCGTATTTACTCTTCTCCTTTATGCCCAACAAGTTATAGATCCATATTCTAGTTTGCCCAAGTACCCAAAAAGCTGTGTAGCAAAGGCTTAGTGAAACAGAGAAAAAACAAGATGCCGGTGATGGAGAAGCTGAAGATGTTCATCGTACAAGAGCCCGTTGTTGCAGCTTCTTGTCTCATTGCTGGTGTTGGTGCGCTCCATTTTTATTCCTCTCTCCCTAAACCCTAATTTATGTCTCTTTTTTAATCCATTGATTACTTTTATAAATTTATTCAACCTCCAGTCATTTTTCTTTATATCAGTTGAATGTGAATTACATTTGGACGAATCTTGTGTCGTTTGATTTTTTGTCTCTAACGTTTGCTATTGCGGTAGTATAATGTTTCGTGTTATACTAGTCTTGATCTTGCTACGAAAATCGATGTACAACTAGGGATTTTAGTTGATAATTTCAAAGATTTGAGATTTTTCAAATCAATTCTAGATGTGAAAGTTTTTGGAAATTTTTTTTTTTTTTTTTATTAGAAGGAACATCCACTCCAATTATCAATAATTTTGGTAATATTTGAACAGAGGATTTTTAATAGGTTTTTTATGCATACTTTTGGAGGTATTTATCCTTATTGTGAGCTGAAATTCTCTTAACTTTTAACTCTATTGGAGTTGAGAAAACACTTTCTATGCTTTTAGGAGCAATTTTTTTTTCGTAGTTTTGCTCAGAAAGGTCATCTTTTCAATGCTGAGCAATAAACAATCGCTGCTGAAGAGGACTTATATCAAAATACATATGTAGGTTGCTTTTGAAGGTTACAATATATTGCATTAGTATGAGAAAATGCATTATGTACCATTCCATTGAATAATGGAGGTCCAACTGGGAATGATGGAACATTGAAATATTGGCTGGCAATTTTATATGATCTCTGCCCACAAAAAGAAAACATAAATCCACTGGTGGATGTTGTTTGTTGCAAGTGAAAAAAGTTCTCTAGAGTTTGTCAGGAAGGAAATTCCCATGACATCTTATGGTGAAACACTGACAGTTTTGGGGTTCTTTTGGACGTAATCATTGTTATGCAGAAACCGGAGGAGTAAGCTTAATCATTTTAAGCTTCCTAAATGGTTCTATCTGGAGCCCAACTGGGAGATGATATAATCCATTAAGTGGACTCAACTCTCAGCATCTTCGGCTAGATAGCTTTGAATAAATTTATTTGTTTTCTTTAAAAAGTGTTGAATTGCTTAACCACTGCCAGAATATTCTGCATAAATTCATTGTTCAGATTGCTTTAATCTCTGTTGTATGCAATAGACCTCAACTGCTTTTTAAGTTCTTCCAGTTGCATTTGCATTAAGAGTTTTTTACAATCATATTGCTGGGATACACTGTTTTGTTTTGGTGGGGAAATGAAACTTCAACTTCTTGGTATCATGTTGTGAAATTTTCAGGCCTCTTCCTTCCCGCTGTTGTAAGGCCCATGTTAGACTCCTTTGAATCTTCTAAACAAGTCCCTCAACCTGCTTTAAGTGATGTGAGTATTGAACTTGGTTTTATGATTTCTATGTTTCCTTGTGCACAGAAAATTATGGATGCTTCTGTGTTTTGCTATATGAATTTAGCCAAATTCCTCAACCCGCTTCTATTTATTATTTAATTTATTGCCATTCAGTGGCAACATTCCCAACTTAGAACACTACATGTTGTGCATCTATGCTCTAAATTGCAATTGAGATCTGCTGCCTCCAGTGCTATACAGCGTCTGTAATCATTAATTGTTTAATTTTGCACTTGTCCCCTCCACTGAAGTAGCTCTATAAATACTATGAATTTTTACAGTCGTATTTATAATCTCATTTTAGGAAGAAAAAGAAAATTGACTGAAATGGCTTGGCTAAAACAGTAATGTATTAATGGGCTTCCTGCTTGCCTCCTCCAAGAGTCGATGAGGGATATTTAGAAAGTTAAAAGTGGTAGTTAATTGGGCCTACATTGGTAGAGAGGGCAAGTATACCAGCTTATGGGTGTTTTACACAGTTGCAATTGGAATTTTTATACCTGCACATGTTGATCTGCAATTTTCTTCGTTAAGTACTTATCTTGTATCTTTGCAGGTGGTCGCAGGTGTGACTGGGAAAAAACAGGGATGATGTGGTTTGCCAATTGAAAGCTTAGCATTCTGCCCCCACCACTGCCTCTGTTACCCATTTTTGTTTTATTCTCATCACAAATGAAATAAGGCAGACTTTAAACTTGTGAAACCCAAAAGAAGAATTGCATATTGAACCTTATCCTGTTTCATGGAAGCATGTGAATGTTTCATGCTGTGTTAATCTTTAGCATTTAATGGAAAACCATGATTTGAGAATTTACTTCCTTATATAATACCCTTTTCATTTCTGCCATCAGATAGGAGTGAATCATTATCGCAATTCTAATGATTCTTTCAAGAAGTAATATCCTGGGTATTAATAATTCAGTAACATCTGATAAGGTGTCAATTGGTTGTGGTTGTGATTGATTAATTGCAACTTAGATAGCAATCAGAAGGCGCTACTGTTTGGATGCTTGAAGAAGGGAGACTGAAGTGGCCATGAACATTGGAGCGTGTCTGGTCGAAGGACAACTTTGCATTGTCAATTGATCAATTGCTATAACCGACACTAATTACGGTATCTAATATTGCATGCTAAGTGGCCTATATGAGCTTGTCCTTTGAATGAGATTGTTTAGTTTCCCCCTTCAATATTCCTCAGTAACTACTGAGTTGTGGACATGCAAGATTCATTTGTAAAATACTCGGAATGGCAAAATCAATAATAACCCATAAAAAAAAAAAGAAGAAAAGAGAGTATACAATAACAAGGACCACTATTTTCCGTAAGCATTGATAGCAACTTGACTACTTGAGGTTGAGACAAAAGCAAATGATCATAAGACCGCCAACTGACCTCGTTACAATTGGAGATGTAGCTCTACTGGAGCGAGTAGAGCCATATGTTCCATTATCATGCTGTAATGACCTGCAGGTACATATTTATTACACCTAACCAGCTGACTAAACGATTCATAATTTACTAATTTTACACGCCAGAGAGACAGTCGCCTTCTTATGCTAGACCCATCCATAAAGGTAGCGGAATCCAGCTAGAGAAGCAGCAAGCAGTGATGTGCTATATTATCTTTGATAAGTCATTTTCTTTCAACAAGATAACTATCATACAGCCACACAATTGTGGTACAGGTACTTAATTAATTGGCAAGCCCAGAAAAGTCAACCCAGAAGCCCATCTTTCTTCGTTTTTCTAGTCTTCCATGGAACCACTTGCTTCAAACCACCATATACAGTTGCCTGCATTGTCATTTGTCAAAATACCATTAACTTTTTACTCGAAAATTTAATTGAAGGCCAAAAGATCCTTCATTTTTCCCATAATTAACGTTTACCATTCTGATTCCATCAAAACAAAGCACCGTCAAAACAAGTTTAGCTATGATGGAATGAGAACTTAAATTGAAGAAAGTAGAGGTGAATAATAAAGTAGACCCCCACTAATTTAGAACTTTATAAATGGTCACTAGTGGTGACTAGTCCTAGCTAACCCCATTAATTACCCGCATATGCCCAGTCCCTGCCATTCTCTAAACCCCTACTGTACGCTGTTTATTCCACCCCGCCAACACCCCCCCACCCCAATGCCTCGCTGCAACTGGGGTCCTCTAGCATAAAAGTTTATCCAACTTCGTAGCCAGATATAAAAGCATTTCTGTGGCTATTTATTAAGACTGTTGATATTTATTAATATTCTTCATGGCATGAACAAGTTGATTCAGATAAAGTGATGAAAAATTCTACATGAGGCAAGTAAAAATTGACCAATTATACAAGCAAAATTACTAATTTAAATAATGCGTAGCAGTAGTATCACTCAAACTTGATATATGTAAAATTGAGTTAATGAAACAGATATTAAAAGAGAAAAAAGATTTAGGTAGAGTCAAAAACTTACCCAGAAGTTAGACCTTGGAGCTCGAGTAGAAAAGCTGCCTGTCCTCCTGAAACTGGTAACCTTACTCATTTCATCTTCTCTACTGGATTCACTCTCTCTATCTACAGAAGAGGGAAAGACGTAACTACCCCCACCAACGTCTCTTTTACCTTTCTTCCTCCAAGAACCAAATAATCCTTTCTCCTTGTGCCCTTTCTTACTAAGAGCAATAGCACCAAGCTGATCTCTCTCAGGACCGAAACTATTCCTACGAAAGGAACCATAACACTGACTAGTACTCAACCTAAACGAAGAAGCCTGGATCTTAGACCTGCCCATGTAAGGACCATGAAGGACACTGGTGGGTGAGGGTTCCATTAACAAAAGTCTAGGTGGCAGTTCTAAACACTTGTGAGCAAGATCATTGTTTGGGTTTGAGTAAGTGGTGACAGTGGTGCATGTTTTAGGCTTACCAGGCTCTTCTTCCCATCGGAATGGGACAGAGGCTGAGGAGTAAAGTGGTGGGGTTAACATTCCAGGTCTCTCAGGTGACTCCATGCTAACTGGTATTGAAAATAAAAGCGATAACTTTGGTGTGGAGGTTAGTTCTACATGATGATCTAGTAGCTGATCAGATCCCATGATTTGAACAAAGTGGGTTTGAGTGGACTGGAGAGAAAGTCTTTGCACTATATAGAGAAGAGAAAAGAGAACAAAGACAAAATGGGGAAGGTGAAGGAAAGTGGAGAAAAGCAAGGCCCCTTAGTACCAGCCTTACTCATTACTCTCGTCACTGTCTTAAGTCTTAGTCTTAAGTCTTAACCACAAGTGAAAGGTTACTAAAAGATCGTTACTATATGAGCCCTAAAATAAAACCCAGATAAAGTTGCCACGTCAGCCCGATGCCTGAAATTTATATGTGGTTGATTTTAGTTTAATAATTGGGGATCTTAGTTGTAAATAAACCGTCCATAATGATTAATGACCCACCCAAATTAGCCCAACAGCAACGTGCTTGCATGTCCTTGATTATAGAGTGGACTGTAAGTTTCCCATAAGAAATATATCATACTAATGCAAATTTATCAACGTCTTAAAGAAAGATTAAAAAATGTCAATGGGACTTATGTTCCTCTTTAATGTATAGTACCCGCTTACAAGATACTATCGTATTCATATGATTTGGGGATTCACAAAAATAATTGCAATTCATGAATAAATTGATGATTGCAGTAATGAGTGTGGCAAAAGCAACCACCCTTGACTAGCCTTAAGTTGAATATGGACTTTTGGGATATTATTTAAGAAGTTTTGAGTTCGATTTACCTTAATTACTATTAAGGATAATAAACTAGAAGTTTATTTAATCGTTAACTTTAGAACTTCAAAAATTAGTTTAGATGTGCACATCCAAACACTCTTAATAATAAATGTGTGGCAAAAGCACTAAATACCAACTCAACCTACCCTCCATTTTTTTAAATTGAAAATAAAGAATATAAGAGGGCAAAAGCATCAGTATCATTTCACCCCTTTTTATGGGTAAAGGTTCGAAGAGTCAGAATCAGAGAACCCGGTCTAGTTTGTCCATAACTTTACCAAAGTGTTATTGGTTTTACCTTTTATTCAAATAATAAACGTGGCAAGAGGGTTTTGACTTCAATATATTTCAACCAATATTGGAGGCTTCAGTGTCGGCAACTACGGTGCTCGTCAACACACCTGATCTTTTTTTTTTTTTTTTTTTTAATTGCATTGGATGCCAACGTGTGATGGTGAAACCTTCCTGTATCAAGAATGGACTTCTTGGACTTCACTAAAAGTCTAAAATATAACTATTGCCGTTCCAAAGAAAGTCTTTCCTCTTTGCCACCAAATAAGCTTTGTCTAAGCACAAAATGGCATGGCTCTGTGAAATGTGTGCTATAGGTTTACATTTGAAAAGGGTATGTCAGAATTTTCTTCTCCAGAGTACATCCTGAAAGACGAAAGTAATAAACAAAAGGCATGTTAATGATGACTGATGATAAGGTCCTTTCATCCGGCGGTGCTTAAGCACTTCTTTTCATGTTTTAATTTCAAGGGTAATGCCAATAGGCCAATTAGCCAACTTTATTCTGTGAAAAGCAAATGTAAACTGTGATCAACGAGCTAGAGAACTGGAGCCAGGCCAGCTAGCTCCCAAAGCAAAAGTCAAGGGAAAAAAAAAAAATTCTGTCATTTTCAGGCATGCGAAAAATAGCCCGCCGGATGCAGTACAGAATATCTATGCACCTAATTTCTCCTTTCCCTTTGAAAACTATTTTTGCAGCCTCTATTTCCCTTTTAATCACTACTTCTCTCTTATAAAAACTATGTATTACGTGTAAATAATGTGCCTTTTTTTTCAAATTACTTAATGAATGGGAGAAAATAACAGCGAATTCTCTTCAGTTCTGAATAGTTTAATTAGATTACTTGTCTATTGCCTACTTTGGAGTCGAGTCACGAACTTCACTTGGAAGTGTTTGGATTAATAGCTCCCACAACACGGAACGGAACCGAAATGGTCAGTAAAGTTAGATTGATTCGGTTGGTCTTGTGTTGGCAATGTGGCACACAACGCTTAAATGTAGCAGTTACCTGTGTCTATTATGATTGCATGCTGCAGTTAATGGAATGATACTAATTAAAGCATCAGGGGAGCAATTGAAATCTGACTGATGGATTAAAGAAGTATTGTTTTTTTAATAAATTTTTTAATAATAATTTATCTTTATATTAATTATTAAAAATAATTTTCATATCATTTCATTTCATTTACTTATACCCTATTATTATCTCATAACGTTAGCTTTTTTTTCTTTTTCTTTTTTCTTTTCTATTCAAATCATTTAGAATAAAAAGAGGTTAGTGGAGGAAGAAGAAATTGTAACAAATATATCAGATTATAAGCAATACAAAATGTGAGTTTTTAATTGCTTCACATAAATTTATTGTAACTATGGTAGGATCATTTGGATTAATTCCCGAAACCTACCCCCAACTATCCATGAAGGATTCAATGTTTCAAACTCAAGTTCAAGTTTCCGAGCAGATTCAAACTTCCCTCCATCACTTCATTTTTCAGCAGTTCCACCTCTCGTGGATTTTACAATGGGAATATGAAATCGTCTAAAATATTAGCAATCTCCCTAATTTGATCCGAAAATTTAAAGTCAAGTGGTGGGTAAATTTGATGCATCCCAGTTCAAAGAAAAATTCAACTTTGTCTCTCAAGTCCCACCTCAAACTCAGACAATTACCCCTGAAATTGCCAATTTTTTACAGAAAAGACTGCTCTTAAAAAAAAAGAAAAAAATATTAAATATTCACTCAATAGTATTATGTGATGCTATAGTGAGATAAGGTTTTCTATAAATTAGAAGGATTTGTGTAATGTGAACCAAGCTTTACCAAGTCAATTCTAAAACTTACTTTCATTCCTTTTTGATGTAAACTTCCAAAAGCTCTCCAAAAGAGCTTTCATTGTAAGTTCAATATCTTTCAGTTCTTTGATTATTCTCTTTTAATCTTTCAAGTTCTATTTCTTTTGTTATCTCTTCATCATCATCATATTTGGTTTTATTGTTCATTTAAGTTTCATTTGTAATGTTTATTTAAGTTTTTATTTGTGCTCTTGTTTCTTTAGATTTTGTTCATCCCTTAATCTAGTTCCAGTGCGCACTGCTGCCGTTACCTAGTTAAGTGTAATCTCACTTATTAATATGATTTAAACAAACATAAATAAAACTTAAAATTTAAATAAACATAATTAAATAATCTTACAACTTAATAAGAATAAAACTTAAAATTTAATAAACATTAATAAATAATCTTACAACTTAATAAGAGAACGGCGGCAGAGTCGCACTAAAATCTATTAAGAAGTGAGTAACACTTAACTAGTAACGGCGCAGTGCCGCATAGAACTAGATTAAGTGATGAACAAAAATCTAAAGAAACAAAGAACATAAATAAACATTACAAATAAAAACTTAAATGAACAAAAACCAAACATGAGAATGATGAAGAGATTAACAAAAGAACTAGAACTTGAAAGATTAAGAGAATAATCTAAGAACTTAAAGATATTGAACTTACAATGAAAGCTTTCTTTTTAGAATTTTTTGGAAGTTTACATCAAAAAATGAAAGATAAAGTTTAGAATTGGCTTGGTAAAACTTGGTTCACATTACACAATCCTTCTAATTTATAGAAAATCTTATCTCCCTATAGCATCACATGAATACTATTGAGTATATATATATATATATATATATATATATATATATATATATATATATATATATATATATATATATATATATATATATATATATTAGAAATTTTTATTTGAAAATAACGATGGTGGAGATATATAACATAAGTGAAGACAGTGATTATTAACTCTTTTAAAAAATTAAAATATATATATATTTAAGAAATTTATGAATTGTCGTAAGAAAATAATATATTTAAACTTTAAAATAAGATGTCCTTAACAAATAGAGTTTTTTTATTGCATTAGTGGAGTGTTAATAACTCACTCTCACCAATGATTTATCTCCAGGCCTTAAGCTTCAAAACAACTATACCTGGCGGGGTCGGTGCTGCTCGGGCAGGCCCATCAATTGGTTTGGCCCAGCATTCATTTGTTTAATTGTTTTCCAAATATTCCTTTAGGGGCGTTTGGTTGGGGGTTAAGTGAGATTACTAAGGTTTTGTCATCTTATATTACTTGATTACCATGTTTGGTTGTCAAGTTATATAAAATACCGGTAATCTTTAAATACCAATAGTGATTACTATTGGTAATATCAGAGGTAATCTGATTACCTCTATTTTCTTAGGTATTTTGAGATTACCAGGATTATCTTTTTTTATTACAATTTTATCCCTTATTAATAAAAAATTTAGACAATAATACCCATACTTTAAAACAAATTTACATTAATATTCTATTTCAATTTTACCATTGTTAATTAAAATTTTGGACAATAATACCCTTATATTTAAAATAATTTACAGACCACCACTCACCCAGCCACCACCACCACTGCCACCCAGCCACCACCGTCGGCAGCGGCCAACCACCACGGACCGCCGCCAGCAAAATCATCGGAGTCCCTAAAAAGGAACGAAATTCCGTGGGAGGCTTCGATATGGCCGTTTTCGGCCATCAATATGGTCGAAAACGCCATATCAGGCCAAATCTATTCTGGCCATTTCCAGCTAGGTTTGGGCCAGATCTGGCGGTTAACGGCCATGTCCGTGGCCGTTAACGGCCAAATCTGGCCTGATATGGTCGTTTTCGGCCATCAATATGGCCGAAAACGGCCATAGCGGAGCCTCTTGGTCAGGGTGAGGTACTCATGCGGACTTTCGGAGACATCCGATGGTGGTTCGCGGCGGCGGCAGGAGGTGGGGTTGATTTCGTCATAAATTAAAATTTTATATAAGCGGGGGTGTTTTAGCTAAATCTGAAACATTTGGGGTTAAAAGAATTATTCAAAAATTAATAATAAAAATAATATTATATTAATATTTAAAACGGGGACAATTTAGTAATTTAAATAACACACCCACCAATTTATTCCCCAAAACCAAACATATTAATATAATATACCCACCAATTAACCAAACACATTTTCTTAAAGATTCTCAGTAATCTTCCAAGGTAATCTATCTTTCCAGTAATTAATATTGTCAATAATCTAACATTCCTGAACCAAACACCCCCTTTAAGCCAATATCAAACACCGAGACGCTGACATAAATATGGCGAATTAAGCTCTATTCTCAATGCAAAGACATCGCCGGAAGATAAACAGCATCATGAACTCAATTTCATATATAAATTAAAACCAAGCTCTTTTAACATATATAGAAAAAAAAACTACCCACAAATTTTGAGTGGGTCAGCTTCCATATATAAATTTGTCCTTTTAAATAATTGATCCTCAATGTCAAATATCATAACCATTGTCATAAATTTTTTAACGAAACTGAAGCCCATCAATGTGCCATAGGTTGAATTTGATTTCCCTTTTATTGTAGCAAAACTTAAGCCCATCGAGGGTTGGGACTAAAAATTAAAACAGGATTGAACCCGACGTGAATCGAACACGCAACCTTCTGATCTGGAGTCAGACGCGCTACCATTGCGCCACGGATCCCTTTTTGAAATGTCTATGTAACTTTTTTTGATGATGTAGTTGACAACGTTTGATTTGTGCAGTTCGTTGCTGAAGTATAAAAAACCTTGTATAACCTTTAAAACCATGCTGAATTTGAAATTTTAATCACATTTGAAGTGAATAAGCTTATAAGCAACATCATTAGTTAAAATTTGGTAGCAACATGCGCGGTTTGTAACTTTAGGAAACACCCAAAACGTAATACAAAGACTCGTTGTCTTAACTGGTCTGATGTGAAGCAATTTTACGAGCATCTTTGTGGGCCTAAAATGTCCTTCAAATAGTACTGCTAATAAGGCCAATTTCAAAGCCAGTATCATACATTTCCCTTGTAGTTTATGAATCAAATTCATTTCTCAATCAACCTGGAGAAGAAGACCCATCCTTTATGCCTTTTTAAGAGTCCCACTAAACCACCCATATACTAAAAGCATTCAAAATGCTCTTGACAACGCCTTTAACACTGTAAAAACCATTTTCAGTATATTCTTTAAACAAAATATTTTATAAAAAATGGGAGATATTACTTTAATGACCCATCAAGAATCAGAATAGATGCTTTTGTTTTACAAAATACAAAGAAATCAGTGAACAAACAAACATTCAGGACTTGGCAGTTAGCATTTGACCACCGCCTAGATATTGAAGTGGACTTTATTCAACTTTAAAATGGAAGAATTAATTAAGAGCTGAAACTTTTGACCCAAAAAAGGAAAAAAAAAAACCTGTAACTTGAAATTACCAGACAATATTGCTCCCAGATCTTGTATGTCACTGTCAAATAGATTTTACAATCTTTTTTTAAAGTTGTTTCTTTTCAGTCCAACCACTTCTTTTAGTAGAAATCTGGTTGAAAACAACATTGCCTCCATATTTTAGACAAACCTGAAAAGCAAGTCCAGTATCTATACCATTTTCTTATTCTCTCCATGTCAGCATCCCCACCGGTTTTGTTTTTTTCTTTCCAAAATATTCGAAATAATTGCACCAAAAATGTTGCCCTCTCCTTAAGCAAAGATTGAGGACCATATATATAATATATAATCCGTCTTCAAATGGAAAACCACAAACCAGGAATTTTCAAGGCAAGAAAATAAGGGCATGCTATTCGTCAGGCATAAATAATGAAACTAGTTACAGGCCAAATGGTCACAACTTTCTACTTGCAGAAAAATCAAATGCCAAGAAGGTATCATGTATATATTTTTACAAACTGCACTACATTAAAACCACACCATCCCACAAAACCAGGTATAAACATGCTATTACTAAAACCTTCATAAGTTCCTCTAAATTTTAACAGTAAGAGTCTGTTAACTCTTCCGTCAAAACCTAGCCCAACTTCTTCATTCAAAGCTCCAAAAAACCTGAGCAAATTAAATTGGCACCACCCTTACTTTAAAAGAAAAAATGTAAAATAAATACGGTGTTTGTACTTTCAAATTTCAGACTTATGATCTGAGTCGTCCCGGCTTATAACAGTCCCTTCACCCTTTACAGATGATACATTAAGCTTGCATCTTGGGCTCATCTTCTTCACTTCTTCACATGAATATATGAAGATCTTCTTCACCAACTTACAGAATTCCCTGCCATTAAAAAGACCTAAGCAACCATGCTAATAGAATGGAAATATTATAATGTGGTACTGAACAGATTCTAAATCACTTACTGCCATGGATCATCGCCGGCAAGCATCATATCACCCTCATCATCAGTAAAAACCACTTTCCATTTGTCACATGGACGAAGTTGTCCTTTAATTTCAAACATCTTCTCTAGTTCATCAATAAGATCATCATACCCTTTCAACATAGTTAAATCAACAGCACGCCCAACAGCAATTCCTTGCATTTGAACCTTCTCAAAATCCAATTATTTTAATCAGAAATTAAGGCTTAGAAGATTAGAACAATCCAAACATGAGGCAGAAAGAACTCCAAATTTTACCTTCGTGCGAGTTCTTGCGGAAGTAGCTGAACCCCGCTTGTTCTGTGTCTCTTTTAGTAATGCCTCCGATGTCACTTGCTTTAGTTCCTTCTTTAAAAAATCCGAATTTTGGGCCTTATCAGAATCAGATGCTGCTGGAATAGACCCTTTAATGCAATATGAATCAAAAGTTGAATCTATAACTTCCTTGGCTAAAGGAGTAGCAATGTTAGAGTTATGTTTCAGGTCAATTCCAAACAACCGACAACCCATGGAAGTCTCAGACTTCTTCCCTTTTTCTGCCTGATCATTAAGTAAGCCATCACTTGGCCTAGAGGAAAAACTAGACAGAATAGACCGTGCCGCACTGTTTTTGTTGTTATCTGTTGTATCCCGGAACAGGTTTAAAGAAACACTCAGATGAGGAGAAGTAGGCCAAATGCCTTCAGGTGCAACCCTTGAGCTACAGACATTACTGCCATTCAAATGATTGCTATCAAGTTCTTTCTGCCTCAAAGGCCAGAGAACTTGGCTTTCAGAGCTTTGGTCTTCAGTGGCACCAGCTAATTGAGTTAATTCATGGGAATGGGTTGATCCTTGATACCAAAAGGCTGAGGATGCCGAATTTGTAGAAATTTCTACATTCAAATGGATGATCCAAGTTTTAAAAGATTAGTTGGAAAAATTCGTTGGAAAAATTTTTGGAAAAAATTTTCATACCAGAAGCTGGAACATCAATGGATCGGGGTCTCTTGCTCTTAACAGCTGGTTGAGCAACACTTAATGGTGCAGAAGCTACACAAGGCTCTATCTCCCATGGAGACACCCTCTCTGGCCTTTGAATTGTAGCTGGCTCATCCCATTGAATCTAAAAAGACAAGTAGTTGGATAAATAAGAATAAAAAATAACACAACAATTATGTCTGGATTTGAAACTGTAATTCAAAACTATATTCAACCTTCAACGACCGCCATTTAGAGCCTGGCCACTCCAAAGAATTATCTCCAACCCCAATTATGGTGCCCATGAATCTGACAATGTAGCCAGGAGAATTAAGAATCTAACTCTAACCAAATTTAGTTCTCAACAGCTAGAGAAACATATTGTTAAGATACCTTCTCTCAGGAGAGTCTTCTCCCTCAAATCTCATCTTAAAACGCATGCCAACAGAAAACCTATTATTAACAGCTTCTAGGTACTTGTTTAAGCTGATAATGAACTGGCTTGTCCTGGTTAAGAGAACAAAGCAAACGAAAGTCCAAGATATAATAAATAGGGCTATGAAATAATAAAAATCCAACACAGATTACAACAGGAACCTTGGCTTGTAGTATACAACAAAGAGAGTTTGGGTTGTAACAGCATGAGAAGCTGTAGCAAGCACTCCTAAATGCATACTCTGGCTGGATATCACAGATGAAGGCATGGAGCTCTGCTGACGAGCAAGACGCCGAACCCCCACTCGTAATTCCCCATTCTCACCTCTAAACAGTAAACACCATCATTGAAAATCAAGCCCAAGCTACAAGTAGTCCATGCACCTGAGTCTAATAAAGAATAACAAAATTGAAATCCAACTACCTCAAAAACACAAAAGCGTCTCCTGCAACCAGCCTTTTGGAGGTAACAAAGGTACTCCACCCGGTAGTAAGCAAATGTCTCCGTGGTTGACCTGATCACATTAACAGAGCAAAACAGAATCAAAACAACACATATACTTATTACCAACAGATCTAACTCCAATTGCTAAAGTACGCACTTATGTTAGCAAAGAACAAACAAATAACAAAACTATGGAAAGCATACCCTGAATTGAAAGTAAAATTTGTACCTCTAAATATATGTTTGAATCGCCACTCATACCCATGCAGATCTTTGGCTACCAATTCCTGGGTTGGGGTTGTTTGGGTCATGTCCTAATGAAAGAAAAAAAACAACGCAGAAGAAAAATCAAGTAAACTGATAATATGTCCCAGAAAATAGTTGCAGTACAGTGACAGTAACTACCAACGGAGGAAGGCATTCAGTGGCGTGCTTGCGAAGAACAGAGAACCCCCCATGGGTGCTTGTATCTGAAGCCGTTAAAATCTTACAAAACGAATGAACCGTTTGCTTTGGAGGCTCTGATGGGCAGGGATCAGGACTTGTAGGTTCACTTTGCTGTGATATTGCCATAACCAGAAACATATATCAATGCTTGGGTTCATTTGATAATATTACTACGGCCTGTTTGGTGGCAAATAAAACTGAGAATAGAAAAAACAATTAATGGTTGTTCTAAGCTAAATAGTTGGACAAGGCTGAAGCTAGTTAATTTTTTTGATTTCTGAATCTAAAATAATAATAAAAAATTTGGGCTCAAGTTTCAATTTTCAGCAACCAAACGAGGCAAAGATGGGACAAAAAGGAAACATATTTACTCACATCTTCATTTGGTAGCAAAGTGATCTGAGCATAAACCTCGTCCGTCTCTTGCTCAGCCTATAAATTTAAGGAAAAGGAGTGCAGATTGAAGAATCGACACAAGTGGAAAAGAAAAAGAAAGAGAAAGCAGAAATAAGTAGATATTAAGATCAGAAACATGAAATACCAGTAAATGAATGTTAACAACTCGACAAAGGATCTTATAAGGAAGATCAAACAAAGGTTTTTGATGGTCCAGTTCCTGATTTGTCGATGCTTCTAACTGCAGAACTCAAAGAGTAAGATATAAATAACCCAAAATATATAGATAAATTGCAAACAAGAGCAAGAAATAGATCTATCTAAAACACATGAGAAGAAAAATTTAGCAAATTTATTCAAAACAAAATTTGCATACTTGTTCCACGTGACCCTGAGGGAAGTAGAAAACTCTTTCTCCGGGTCGAGGAACTTCAACCAGTGGCCCCGCACATGCCTTCCAAAGCTCCTTGTACAGATCATTGCTTCCTGTACCCAAAGAACTCAAAGTAAAACTTAAAAATCCCAGAAGACGAAGAATATAACAACGGGTTTTTGGCTCCCCGCTCCCTCGCAGATTTATTATAATTTAAGACCCAAAAGGCAAAGCTTCACTCTAATCGAGCCAAGAACCAAGTGCTCAACTTCTGCAGGCAAAATACGTACGATTTCACATTCTCATTTTTTTCTGAGTTTCGTATCATTTGGCGACACCCAAACAAAGGCATCAACTTTCCCATTTTCTCACAACCAAAAAAATCCCATTTTTATTTTTCTAACTTTCTCGGGGATCAAACAAAGAAATTTTAACTTAAGATTACTTCATATTGTTACCTGCTTCCACTTGAGAAATCGATGAGCCCCCAAGATTAGTTTCAACATGAGCCATCAAATAAACAACCACAGGAACGATGTCGTTTTCAAACCAGTAAACCACTTAACAAAATTTCAAAGGAAGGAAAGAAAGAAACGAAAATCCCTTCAAGCAGAAGAGGGTAAACTACCCCATTAATGAAGAAGAAAAGGCAGTAAGAAAGAAAGAAAAACGAGCTGAGAAAGAGATGGAAATATAGATGGCAAAGCAGAGAAGAGACGTCGGTTCAGTTATGTATTGTAAGTAATCATAATTACAAGTAGACTAGTGTAACTGACTGTGATTATATGTAGCTGCTATGTTGGTGGGTTTCAGTTACAAAACCACTGTGCCTTTGTCTTCTCACTGCGCTCATTTCCAGGCTCAAACTCAATAAACACTTGTAAGAAGCAGTGTTGTGCTTTGTTTGTTGTTTCTTCGCCCGCTAAAGACCTGAATCAGACGTTACCAAATCCCCAAAACCGCTTTCTCCGACTCATGTTCTACTCTTCTCTCTCTTCTTTGAGTTTCTCTATAGTCTCTTTTTATGATTTTTTTTTTTTCTCCTCAATTAATATAATTTCCTCTAGTGCATGTTTCCTGTATATTAATAAAATGATACCTTTAAAATTAAACAGTAACGAGAAGCCACTGTTTATTAATCCTGTGTAAATCTGTATAAAAATAGAAAGTGGTGATGAATTTAATCTTATCCAATAATGAATTAACTGTTTGAATTTAATATGAGAAAGTGTATTCATTTAATGGTAAATCTGATTTTTTTTAGTTTAATGTTAATTTTTAACTGTTTAAAAAAAAATATTTTTGAACTAATTTTTGCGGAATGTGAGCTACTCAGTATCAATATACAAACCTACAGGATGACAAATATAATAAATGAGTAAAAAAGTTTAATATAAGTTTTGAGTTCGAGTTTTTTAAACACTGATAAATATAATCATTGAAAAGATTTATTCGATTATTCATTTAACGTCAGAAAATTAACATAGATATGCATAAACTAATCTGAACATTCTGATATCGTAGAAACAAACAATGTAGCATGAGATGTTGTACCCTCTATATTAAGTTATTAACGTGAAAAACAATTTACATAACTGGGGTGACGAATGCATTTTATTTGTTCATCACAACTATCACATGACTCTTGCCAGACTATTTCATAATTCATTTCTAGGAATTTTACCTTTTACCTTTCTTCACTCACTCTACTCTCAACTACCTAACCATGGTTATACCTAACCATGGTTACTTTTGCATCAGGATCACGGAATTACCGTACATAACTCTGTAGAAAGTGAATAGCAGCCGTCTGATAAAGGCGGCGAGGTCAGTAGTTGACTACCCATCGCATCAATACTACATAGGGAAACGTGATGGCTCAATGATTCACGGAGTCGGGCTCCGTTTACTTCCGTTATAATTTTTACAACGCCGTCGTCACGTTTTCCTTTTGCTAGTATCCTTGTTTGTCTGCATCGTGGCAGGCAATCTTGTTGGCTCGTGTAAACCCGGCAGAGAATTTTTGGTCTTATTTCGTTTTTTTTAATTTGCTCTATTTATTGTGGTTAGTTTTTCGTATTGTGAAAGTTTGTAATTTACACGTGTTCGGCCTTACTCTTTGGGACCCAGCCCAGCAAACATGGTGTTTGAGTTTGAGCTATCGAAATGGAGTGGAAAGCACGCGCCTCGATTTGAAAGCTGTGGGTTGTGTTGCGTACAGGTTATGGTCCATTGGTCCTTGTAGAGAGCTCCTGAATAATGTCAGCGACATTATTTTGTTGTTTATTCGTATAGAAAGTGACAATGAGGTGGATATTTAATTACCAAACACAAATGTTGCATGAGTTAACTACAGACCCCGGGTTTTGGTTTACTATATCTATTTGTGCAATTTAAAAATATTGGCATTAGTCTCCTTAGTCCTGACCAACGATTAATTGAGTCGGGTTGGCCGGGCAAATTTTTCCAATCACCCCCTTCTACTTCTTCCTTTTAAGAATTGCATCTTTATTATTCCCCTCAAAACAATATATCCATTTGCATATTCCATAAAAACCCAGGTCTAAACGGGTTTTTGATTTCATATTGTAACTCTCTCTTATATGATATAATGATAGTATTAACTATTATGTAAATCACTGGTAGGTGGTCTGATGATAAAAGAATAAAATGAAGTTTCATGAATTCTTGAGTTTTAGTCTCTCTAGTGTATCTAATCCTGCATCAAAAGCATATTGGTGAGATCCTAGGCTTATAAATGGGAGAAGTCACTACACCTAATAAGTTAGCCTTTTAGGTGTGAAATTCTCAACCTATGACATATGGTATTAAAGCAAACCTGGTTTGTCTTTTGATGTCCTACCAAACGTCCATGCAAAGGCGTTCATGTGTGATTGTGGGTCCAGGAGAAAGTCACTTTACGGAATAGATTAGCCTTTTTGGTGTGAAACTCCTAACCCGTGATATTAAGCACTAATACAGCTGGCCAACAGAGTTCTTATCTGGTTGATAGTTTCAAGGTTAGTTGATGTGTTCCGGTTATTCTTGGTAACAAAAACAAAAAAAAAAAAAACTATTATGTAATAAAATTTATAATTATTACTATTATTTTGATAAGGCTTTTTATGTTATTTTGATATAATGTTATCTAAGATAGATATATCAATTATATGATAAAAATTAATTTTGTTATCTCTTTTCTTTTAAATATATTTACACTTTTAAGAAATATAAGACCTAACTGATTTAATATATTATTGGATCTTGCATTTTGATTATATTGAAACTTAAAAAATGTAAAATGTTTTTATAGTAACCAAATAAAATATGGTTTAGAATGGTAGAAGTGAAAATAAATGAGAGCATATTTCATTTCCTCTGTAGGCGTTAGTTAAGGAGGTAGAAAAGCAGCATAAATATGAAATGGAAAGTGTAGGGCACTGTATTTGCTCCTCGTGGGGTTTTTAAGAAACTTATGTTTCAGAGTTCTGACCATGCTGATTAGTTAGGTGGTCCACCGTACACGTCATAATCCCAACCTCATTAAGCATGCCCACGTGGTCTGGTCGTTTTCGTACCAACGTGTCATCAGTCCACTTGCTTCGCCTTCTTTAATTCTTTATCAAAATTTCTCCAATCATATAAATTGTAAATAATTTGAGGGATTAAATATCGTATTCAAATAAAACAGCGTAATTTAATTTTACATTATTTTTAATAAAACCAAAAGTTTCATTAGAGATTAATTACATTGAATTACCTTTTTGTTTATTCATAAAAGATCCAGAAATTTTTGTTAGGATAAGCTAAAATAAAAACTAATTAAAATTAACTCTTCTATATATTAATATTTTTATTACGATGGGTTAAAATAAAAAAAATTATACATATTAGTATTTTAAAAAAAAATTTGATAGCCCACCCTATCCGCCCCTGATAAAAGCAACAATTAAGATGAGGTAATGTGTGGGAATGGGACCACAAAATCATTTAATCAGTTTATTGTGACAAAATAATAGAGCACTAATTAAGATAAAAACAAATAATATGTGGAGAGAAATGAAAGCATTATGTTTTGCAGAGAATAGAATATGTTATAAAAAGAAAACACCACTAAAATTAGTAAATTGTTTGAAAATGCCAAAAGGAGAATCACCAAAAACTTAATTAGTATGATACCCCTATCCTTATACCAATTTGTAACCACATTTTATCTCATGGAATATATAATATAATTCACCAACCAAATTTTGTTACTTTACATATACAAATTATTTTATACTTACATGATAAGTTTAAAATTAAATATGCCTAAATCAACCTAAAACCAAAGATGTCAAATTATCAAATTTGAAACCCAATAAATATACAACAAGGCATTAAAAAAATGGTCACTGTTGTGTGTGATTTTTCCATCAAGTTCGGGCCTTGGCGAGGATATAGCTCGACTCAGAACTAACTCGACAATGATGATTGATCGACCCAGCATAAGCTCGTCGAGCTATAGCTTGACCCAGCATAAGCTAGTCATGAGCAATCCGAACAATCATTCAATCAATCCCCAGATTACTTTAGATCCCATATATTATGGGAATGACTAGATCAAAAGCGATCACTGCGCAATCACAGCGCCCAATCATGAGAATATCGGAATTGCGATTCAAATCAATTGTAATCACCTTAATTTCACTATTTTCTTTGTACAAATCTTATATATAAACCCCCTCAAATGATGAGGAAGGGGTTACAAATTTCACATAGGAATTATATTGTAAGCTCTCACAACAAATACAAAAACAGTGGACGTAGGCTTCAAAGTTAACCTCGTCGAACCACTTTAAAACTCTCATTGTCTTTACTTTATTGCATTTTTAAATACATTGCTGATTATACCTAATCACGTACACATCAGTTTCAATCCTGGCAAGGTTGATTGAATCTCACTGGTTGGTGCAGATTTCTATATCAACATTTTGGCATTAGAAAGAGGGCCTTCGCCAACATCTCAAGGATTCCGGCAAACATCCATAACAACCTACCTATCCCAGGCCCAAAATGGTGTACACTTGATCAAAAACCACCACCGAAAACCTCAAAAATGTGGAAGCCACCCATCAGGAAGTGCAACAAGAGATTATTGGATGCCGACCACCTGTGCTGCCAGCCCAGTACACCGCAAACAATCAGGGGGCAGGGATATCAAACCCCGAAAATGGCCGGCTGATGGAGATGATCAGAACGATGGTTGCACAGGCGGTGCAATAAAACGTGGCCGAGTTACGGAACTAGCAACCAGGTGCTGTGAACCTTGACTAGCCGCACTTCACCAATATAACCCCAATAGGTATGAATTTTGTAGGTGGACGGTCCGTTTCGTCGGCACTGGAGGGCAATCAACACCCCCAACCTCGCAGATAACACTTCGTCCACGAGTGCGAGTTCCGCGGGCAAACAAACCTTGTGAGGCAGCTAGGGAAGCAACCACAAAGAGAAAGCGAAGGCGATGGGCACCACCGAGAAGCTCGGAAGTACCCCAAACGTCAGCATGTCGGTATTAACCCACGCCCAAGATAAGATCGATCATCGCAGGCTCGCGAAACAAGTCACGTGCGTCAGTCTGGCAATGACTCACGTCGTGAGCAACGCATTGACGAGCATGATAGCACCTATCAGCCTAGCTATCATGACTCGACCTCATGCATCAATGCGCACACCGGAGGTGCTTCGCAAGCAATAGACTTGCGAACTTATATGTTCGAGTTAATGCTTAACTGAGCCAGCCAAGGTAACCACAATGATGAATTAGATCACGTGCAGAAAATACTCGACGATCTAAAAGCTTGCCAGAACAACCTGGCGAAAGAAGTAGTGAGTTCCCTTTTCACGAAGGAAGTTCACCAGACCCCACTTCTGCAAGGATTCAGGGTGGCAGAAAGCAAGTTCAATAGGAGATGGGACCCTAGAGACCACCTCGACAACTTCAATGACCTAATTGAGCTACACCAGGTCAATGACTTAGCGAAATACCGATGC